AGGTAATGTGATTTTAAAAAAATAAAACTATTTTAAAAATAGTTTTCCAGAAAAATCATTCAGCAAATATTTGTTTGTATATATTACTTGAAACCATTATATTTTTATTCAGCAGAATGAAGTAAATAAATTTTAAAAACTTTACTTTTTTTAACGAGAAAAAACATTTACGTGCCTTTTTTTCCAGGGCATTATTTTTACAAATTACACTTTGTATTTGACATTTTTTACAATCCAATATTTGTATCTTCTAAGTTTTTATTTTCTGTACTCAAGATAAAGGAGAGGCTCTGTGTAATGTGTAAAAAAGGGTGTCTCTAAAAACCTAGAGTAAATCCCAAAGCATTAATTCTGATATTATAATAAAAGAAAACAGAGTATATTTATAACGCATCAATGCTGGGAACTTTAGAATGGGATATATCCTTAATCCCGATCGGTTGATTAATCTGGAGATTAATAACAAGAGGAGAACAAGCATTATTTAATCTGGAGATTAAAAAAAAAACCGATTCTGAAAACGTATCCACCTCCAAAGTAGGAGTTTTGAACGTCGAATTTGCGCTCAAACTGAGGATTTACAGATTTTTAAAAAGTGTAATATGTCTCAAATGAATCCGAAAGCAGTTTTCCACAACACTGCATACTCAGTTCAACAACCTTACATAGCCAGTCACTCCCTTTAAGCAACCTTTGGGGTCTTTTTCCACCTTCTTCCTCTATGCAATGATTATTATCTAAGATAGTTAAAATAACTCCAGCACTCTGTGGGCAAACAAGTACTTTATTGATAAACAAAATAATTAAAAAGTATTTCTGATTTGTTTCAGGAGAATTCACGAGTTAGAGGCTGCTATAGAGGATATAGAGGCTAAAAACAGGATTGGTGTATACTTTATCTTTATAGCATTGTATCACTGTACGACTGTATCATTATATATTTGTATCATTAAATCACTGTATCCTTGTAGTAGTTTATCTGTATTATTGTACTAATGTAGCTTTGTATCTCTATATTACTTTATCCCTGTATTACTCTATCCATAAATCCATGTATCACTGTATCGCTGTATCCTGTATTATTTTAACAATGCATCTCTGTATCAATCTATAACTTTTCCATGTATCTATATATATATGTATATTGTTAACATTTGACCTTGCTAGAAAAATATAACATTTTTTGCATAAATTGTACAATATATTTCTATATATAATCCTTAGTACTGCAAATGCACTGTAAATAGACAGCAAATATCTATCCGTGTGTAGTATTAACAAGCAAAAAAGGTATTATACTTAAAGACGAGTCAGACCAATAAAACAATTAGTGCATTAGGTTTGGTGTTATGCAGATGATTAAGAGATATGTTACACTATAAACATTTATCATTATAAACGATATAAAAACATGTTTCACCTGGTTGCCCTTGATCAATATGTTTTTGATGAGTAGGGAGGCGATCATGTACAAGTGAACACTCTAGTTAGACACAGACTGCACAGACTACACAGACTGCTTAATACACTCTACCTGGACAGGCTGAGCAGGCCTATAGTGTCCCGGCACGGCATGCTACGGTTCCATGTAATGTTTTTTGACTGACATCTGACGGCCATTTGTTGCATTCAGGGATTAAGTTTTACTACTTTTAAAGAAATACTTCAATTTTGAACTTAAAACATAACGTTTATGAACATTGTCTAATTTAAAGATTTTGCATTTCCTATTCAAAGGATCCCTGAATACAGATGTCTCCTGAGTGGTCGTGTACAGTCCTTGTACACAATAGAACATTCTGTGAAAAATATCGTATATTGAAGGTGTTAATCAAACTCTCTAACTCTCTTATCCCTGAGCCCGAAATTTAAAAGAGTATCGTTGGACAAAACTCCCGAGTTTCCTTTTTTGTGTCTTAACATTTGTGTAAATTTTGATTTAAGAGATTCGAAAAAAATTGAGAATATAAACAAATTAAAAAAAATAATATTTCATCACAAAAATATTGATATTCACAAAACTGCCTAGCCCCATTCGTGAAACCCTGGTTTCAAAACTGGTTTTCANTATATAGCATAAATATGTGAAGTACACCTGCAATATGGAAACAGTACAACAAAATGGCCGTTTTACACTTTTTTCTAGTAAATTCCTCTCTATACATTCTATTCTCTATGCTTTATTCTCATTATGGTTTTAAAAAACTCATTTTTTTCCACGGGCACCGCCGGGCTCTTCAGCTAGTTTTTAATAAAATAGATGGCACGAGATATCATTTTATATTATAGATAAGATTTCTTTATGGGTTCTTTTTAAAAAGTTCGTTCAATTCAAGGTTATAATGCAGGGAAAGTTATTTCAATGGTGTACGCATCTTTTGTACTGCAGTGTACTGTCTCTGGGCTGTAATGTAAACACAAGGTCGACGGGCGTCGAAGCCTAACATAGGATCCTTTTTTAAATCAATGAAATATTCTGGTCATAGGAAACTATTATGTTAATTATCAAAATTATCAAAATTAAACCTCCTCGGATACTAAACGAACACTGATGCACCTATTCTTGTTTACAAATTCCGCCCAGAGAGAACTGGTTTCAATGTATGTATGCAGAGTATACGCAACTGCAATTAACTTTCCTTGCATTATAACCTTGGTTCAATTGTGGTTTCTCAACTTAAGTGACTTGCATTAACAATGTACACTTCTGCTACAAAAATAAAAGGGATTTTTAGATTTCTTCTTCAGACACATTAAAAAAAGTTTTCAAAATTAAACAATTTTGAGGCTGGAAAAACAATGATACCTTCCACATTTTTGACTAGTTAAAGTTGTAAGAGTAATACAGTAAATTGGTACTCCCCTCATTCCATGGAGGGTCATTTGAAATTACGCTTACAGTCCCTTTAAGGAACGAGAATATATGAGCAAAGAAGTAGAGGAGAGGGAAGAAGAAAGAGAAGAATTTTTGGAGAAAATATCAAAACTTCAGCAGATTTCAAGGAAAACTGGAAAGAGCAGAAAAAGAATCAAAAGCGGAAACAATTGTGAAAGAGGTAAATTTTTATAAAATCTTTTTATAAAAATAAAAATAAAAATGTTGTTTGCGTTGACACACCACGTGCAAACTTAAGCATCCATGAGCATGCAGAAAAACATTAGCAGTCTATTTAAAATTCTGTGATAGTGCAAAGGGGTTTACAAGTATAGGGGGACACTAAGCGCACGTGCCCTCGCCTGGGGGGGGGGGCTTATTTATGAAATGATTGCATATGATGATGTGGAGAAAAATGAAAAATTTGATATTAATTACAGTTGCAAGTTTTGTCACCGTTTTAATATTTTTTACACAAAAATTCAGCAAGTAAAACCCTGAAAATTTGTATGGCACTGAAACAACCCTACCCTCTGGAGAAAAGAAAATTTTTGATGAATGGGGGGGGGCTGGACATGAAAAGGCATGTTTTTTATCCTTCACACCCAAAATTCAGCAAATAAAACCCAGGGGCGTACGAGAGCATTTGTGTAGGGGGGCATTTGTGCCCCCCCTTGGCAACATTGTGCCCCCCCTTTAAAATCCTTTTTTGAACAATATTGATACCTTTTTTAACTATGTAAACTATTTGATTTTATACACACTTTCATATAACAAGTGTTAATAAATTATTTATATAATTTTCTTTATCAGACACTTCCTCTTAATACTGTGGTGTAAGCTTCAGTGGGTGAAAAACAGTTTCTCAAAAAATATTTATATTTTCATAGAAAAGATACATATTGTATAATTATAAATAATGATATCAAATATATATTTACACAGAGGGCAAAAGTGATATTTTAGAGTATTTTTTTATGAAGGTGCTCCCCTCGGGGGAGACGGGGGGCCTGGTGGGGCCCGGTTCTAAGTCTATATTTATACATAATCTAAAGAGTCTATTCAAGGATATGTTTTAAGAAAAGCAACTTTCTCTTTACATTTAACTTATTATGACGCAAAACTTGAGTTGGAAAAATGCGTCAAAGATGTCTGTCTCGCCATTTTGGGAAAATATTGCGTAATTTCTCTGGCAAAACACCAAATTCATTTTGTCTTTGTATTGTTATTTTTTATTTTATAATTATGCATGTTTTCCAATATAAAAATATACAAATATGCAAATATAAAAACGTTGGATTTTTATCAAATATATATCTCTGCTTATCAATTTATTTCCCCAAGATTGCTTATTTTTTGACACATCTATCTATCTATCTATCTATCTATCTATCTATCTATCTTTCTATCTATCTATCTATCTATCTATTTATCTATCTATCTATCTATCTATCTATCTATCTATCTATCTATCTATCTATCTATCTATCTATCTATCTATCTATCTATCTATCTATCTATCTATCCATCTATCCATCTATCTATCTATGATCCAAGTCCGAGGGTAGTCTTAGCCCACCCACGGGATCTTTACTGTGTTTAGCAATTAGGAAAAATATTCAAATTCAAGCATCTGACTTCTTTAAACGAAAATAAACAAAAAATATGAAATCTTAATTTTCAAAGCTTTTTTCCTTCTTGTTTTTAAATATTTGAAAAATGGCGATAACTTTTAAACCATTAGAGATAATTTAAGTTGTTAAAGTAAATGTGCTTTCAAATTAAGTTAGGAGTAATGGGTAATGATAAATTTTCATCATGGGGTTTATGTAGCGTCCAAATTAGCGCTATTTTGACCCAAAAACCAAAAAATATTAAACCCAAACATTTAAAACGTGCTAACCCAACCTTTTCAAGAAAAAAAACTTCCCATGCAGTATGCACTGTGACCCATCTCATTAAATAGCAATAATTTACAAGATGGGAATAGCTGATCACGCATTTTCTTGATATATGTCAATATTTATATTGCATAAAAGCTGACATATATCAATCTTGGGATAAAATAGTCCTCCAATCAACTCTATTAACTTGTTATAAAAATAATGTAAAAAGTAAAAAAAGGAATATTTATTAATTATAAATAATACTTAAGGAACTGTAGACGTAATTTTCATTGATAAAGTGGCATGTCTGATGAACAACGGTATCCTTATAAAAGCTTCATTTAATCAAGAATAAATTTATCATCCATTTTGTTCTCCTTGAAAATTGATTATTTTTAATTTTATTTTTTTGAACTTTCAGATTAATAATGATTTTAGAGATGAGTTTTGTGTTTTATATTTATCTTCTGTTTCTTATTTTCTTTCTGTCCTGAGGTAAATGTGAGAAAAAAGTGTTATTTTAAGAGTGAGGGAGTGATTAAATAAGTGATTCAGTGAGGGAGTAAGTGGACAGGTGAGTGAGTGAGTTAGTAAGCGTGTGTGGTTGAATGAGAGGGTGAATGAGTGAATGTCTATGTAATGTGAGTGAGTGATTTTGAGAGTGATTGTGTTAGAGAGTAGCTAAGCAAGTAAGTGAGTGAGTGTGTTAGTGAGCATGTGAGTGAGTAAATAAGCGAGTGAGTGAGTAAATCAGAGAGTGAGTGAGTGAGTAAGTAAGCGAGGGAGTGAGTGTGTATATGAGTGAATGTGTGTGTAAGAGAGATGTCTGTATGTGCCGGTCACTCTGTGACCTCTAAGTACAGGTATACGTGTACACAGCATTCAGTCAGCAACAAACATATACACGTGATACACACACCTGTCCTATCCTGTCCATCCTGTCCTATCCTGTCCTATCCTGTCCTATCCTGTCCTATCCTGTCCTATCCTGTCCTATCCTGTCCATCCTGTCCTATCCTGTCCTATCCTGTCCTATCCTGTCCTATCCTGTCCTATCCTGCCCTATCCTGTCTTATCCTCTTCTATTCTCCGAAAGAATGCATTTATAAGAAATTCAATGCAATTAAACCCTTTAAAAATTATTTCTATGAAAATGCAGAAACAATATTATCTATTGTAAGAAAATAAAGACAAAAATTAAATTACTCTTACCTTAAAGTTTAAAGTCGGGTTGCTTATTTATCTCTTCTGTTTTGTGAGAACACTCAGTTATTCTAAAAATTTGAGAATTAGCTTGTTAACCTAGATATATAGTTCTAAAGAATTTAGACCAAGTTCATGGAAGGGCTTTAAAAACCCTGAAAAATTCCAGCAAAGAAATAAATTATAAACGAATTGGTATCCTTGTGTTATAAAGAAATAAATTATAAACGAATTGGTATCCTTGTGTTATGAAGAAATAAATTATAAACGAATTGGTATCCTTGTGTTATAAAGAAATGAATTATTAACGAATTGGTATCCTTGTGTTATAAATTGTATACAGTGGTACCCATAAAACTGTGAAATAGAAAGACAACTTTTGAACGTTATGATTTTAAAATGTCCAATGAATGTAAAACTCAGTTTATATTACTCATTTCATATAGTAATTTTATGATCAAACTAGCGGTAAAACTATCACCAAATACAAATAAGATTGCTTCAATATCGTATTAAAAAATATCTATTTCACAAAGGAATCTACTCAATTGAACACGTATTTTTTACAATATTATTCAGTGATAACCAGAAAACTCAGGAGAATGAAGTCGCCTTTTAGACTAAAGTTATGACTTTGAATAGTCCAATGAACACAAGAGGCACAGTAAATATGCAGTGTTAACAGACCCATTTCAATTAATAAGTGATTTAATAACTTACTAGTAAAGCTATTTGCTTTATAACAACAGCAAATGTAATTCTTCTGCTTTAATGTCGTCCTCCTATTCTACAGCTTTCTGGTTATCACAGTATAATGTTAAACCAAATATTATTTAGATTGCTTCTCCTGAAGATTTAACTGAAAATGGTTCTGATGGCCCCCAGGATAAAAATAGAAGCCTAGAGGAAGTTTTAAGTAAACTTTATAAACAGGTATCATTCATATGAAGTAGTAATCTCTGTTTGTATGTCCAATTATAACTAAGGAATCCCTTAACCGATTTGCCTCAAATTTTGATTGGGGAACTCGGGAGAACCACTGGAATTTTCTTAGCCTTTTTTTAAAACCCTATTCCTACTGGGGGGGGGGGTTTACATAACTCAAAAAGTATTGGTCTGAGGCTGTTGAAATTTTCTGACTTTTCTTACATACCCAAAGCTCTCCCTTTAGGCCTAAAACCGGGCTTTAATACTAACTGCCTGAGTCCTCAGGCACACTGCCTGAATGACTGCTTTTGCCTGTAACAAACTAAATCTTTGTTTTGACCCACTTTCACTTGTCAGATTTTGATAAAATTTAGCTTTTTGGAAAGCCTATGACATAAGAAAACGGATTGCACAAGTTTTGCGAAAAAATAGTGCAAATTTTTTGCAAACAACCTGTCAAAGGAAATTTGCACATTTTTAGTTTTTCTTGATTAAAAATCAGGTTATTTAAAATTTTGCAAACATTTTTGCATATTTGAAATGGCATGGTCAAGGGCTTTTCAAAAATGTATAATTTTTCATTTTTTGGACAAATTGTTTTTTTGCAAACATTTTTACTATATAACTGGATTTTGCGATAAAAAATTCAATTTTTGCAAATTTGCAATTTTTTTTTGCAGATTATAAAAGTAGAGCACAAGAGCTTTCTAATGATATATCATTTGTCATATTTGGACATAAAACATGGGATTTAGAGGGGGGGGTCAAATTGCCCCCCCCCCAGCATATCCTGGTTTTCAAGTACCCCAGCAGGGATAGGGTTAAAATTTGATTTTTAAAGATAAAGTTTAGCTTCCAAAGCTGGGGTTATACATAAGCTATGATTGTAAAATAATTTATAAAGTAGATATTTTTCCTAAATCCAAGTTAATCCTAGAACTTTTAAACCGACTGATTTCAGGGATTACCTACGTAAATACAAGTGACCCTGAAAGCAGGGCAAATGGTACCCTCTCAAAATTTCGAATCAGCAAAATATTCTTTTTGACAATTTTTTACTGTGGTTTCTGAAAAATAGTAATTTGCGTGGTTTTGCAGCCGCGACAAAGAAAGTAAATTGGCATAATTTAAAACTTTAGAAGATTGAAACCAATCTCTTCCTTATGGTTGCTCGGATAAAGATTAAAAGCAATCTCTTCCTTATGGTTGCTTGGATAAAGATTAAAAGCAATCTCTTCCTTATGGTTGCTCGGATAAAGATTAAAACCAATCTCTTCCTTATGGTTTCTCGGATAAAGATTAAAACCAATCTCTCCCTTATGGTTGCTCGGATAAAGATTAAAACCAATCTCTTCCTTATGGTTGTTCGGATAAAGATTAAAACCAATCTCTTCCTTATGGTTGCTCGGATAAAGATTAAAAGCTAGTTCACTGTGTCATAAAGTTTAGTTGCTAAGCGCGTTAAAACAGATTAAAAAGTTTAGATCTTCGGGAATGTGTTTCAGTCTGTTAGATAGATTATATTTGTGAAGAATTTGTGATAAATTGTTAAAATGATCATATTTAAAAATAAATTAAAATTGAAACAGTTTTTAAAATTTAACTTATTTAATTTGTGGAGACAGAGACTCCAAAACGAAGATTTAAAAGTTTAACTTATTACCTAACATATCGTTGACTTTGACAAGCTAATGTTCTAAAAAAAAGTTATTGATTTTTTAAATACAATGTTTAAATTTTTTTTCTCGCTTTTAAATTTTTTGAAAGAAATCTCAAGTTTTTTTTTCATCTTCTGTTGGAGAAGCATTTTAAAAATTTAAAATCTAAAATCTAAAATATAAAACTTCAGATGAAACAATCATATAGATCTAAAAAATAAAAAAAAAAATAAAAATATTTTATCTTTTAATATCAAATTCTATCAGAGTTTTAATAATCAAAAGCCTTTAATTTAAAAATCCAAAAATTTATACCAATGTAATTTTTATAAGAAACTATTGAAACTCACATCTAACTATCCTAAAAATAAAAAAGTTCTCTATCTTTCAGCTCGCATATTTATGTGAGTTCTTGTAAAATATCAAATACGTAAAATGCAACACATCACAGAACACATGACTGTAGCAGTAAAAAAAGTTGTTGTCTGAAATAAGGCCCATAAAAGAATAGTATAGTAGACTGACGACTATTGGAATTAAGTTATGTTTTTCAATCGTCCAATAAACATGAAACACAGCAAGTTTAGATATTTTTCAAGCTTCTGATAAACTATTTGCTTTAGTACAACAATAAATGTACATAGTATTGCTAAACTTTCGTCTTGTTCATTCGTAGATTTTTTGGGCCTGCTGTACAATGTACATACAAAATTTGATCATCTTGATAATAAAAGCTCTTCGCGCGCTCATGTATCTATGTTAGCTAAAGCTGGTAAAACGACTGGACCAAATTGGCAAAAAAAATTTTAGGAAACCTTTGGGGGACTTTAAAAAATGTCTTTTAAAGTCAATTTTCTCCAAGGGTAACGTATTTACTAAAACAAGTGTTGGATAATTTCTCGTGATGTTTTAAACCAATGCAAAATACAAGTTTTGAAACTGATAATTATATTTAAGATTTGGATTATATTTAAATTGTTAATCTAATGATTTGGATTCTCTTGCTGACCAAATAAGACACAGATATCAAAACCAGCCCCTCTCTGATTGCAACAAAATGCAGATAAAAGATATTTCCTAATATTAATATTTCTTGTTTCTAGACAATTCCTAATATTTTATATTTCTTGTTTCAAGATACTTTCAAATATTCATATTTCTTGCTTCTATAAACAATTTAAATATTCATATTTCTTATCTCAAGATACTTCCTAATATTCATATTTCTTGTTTTTAGCTACTTCCTAGTATTTATATTTTTTGTTTCAAGATACTTCCTAATATTTATATTTCTTGTTTCAAGATACTTCTTAATATTCATATTTTTTGTTTTTCAAGATACTTTCAAATATTCATATTTCTTGCTTCTATAAACAATTTAAATATTCATATACTTCCTAATATTCATATTTCTTGTTTTAAGCTACTTCCTAGTATTTATATTTCTTGTTTCAAGATACTTCCTAATAGAAATATTTCTTGTTTCAAGATGCTTCCAAATATTTATATTTTTTGTTTCGAGATACTTCCTAATATTTATATTTCTTGTTTCTAGATACTTCCTAATATTTATATTTCTTGTCTCAAGATACTTCCTAATATTTATATTTCTTGTTTCAAGATGCTTCCTAATATTTATATTTCTTGTTTCAAGATACTTCCTGATATTTATATTTCTTGTTTCTAGATACTTCCTAATATTTATATTTTTTGTTTTAAGATACTCCTAATATTTTTACTTCTTGTTTCAAGATACTTCCTAATATTTATATTTTTTGTTTTAAGATACTCCTAATATTTTTACTTCTTGTTTCAAGATACTTCCTAATATTTATATTTCTTGTTTCTAGATACTTCATAATATTTATATTTCTTGTTTCAAGATACTTCCTAACATTAATATGTCTTGCCTCTAGATACTTCCTAATATTCATATTTTTTGTTCTAAGATAATTCCTGATATTTATAATTCTTATTTCTTGAATCTTCCTGATAATTATATTTCTAATTTCCAAATAATTCCTAATATTTATATTTCTTTATCCTAGATACTTCTAATATTTATATTTCTAATCTGTAGATCGGTGAGTTTGATGAACTAAAGACAGGATTCAAGAATACTCTACTTGAAAAGGAAATTGAAATCAGGTAAAAGATGTATGTATATTGTATACTGGGCGTCCCAAAAGATCTATGTATATTGTATACAGGGTGTCCCAAAAGATGTATGTATATTGTGTACAGGGTGTCCCAAAAAAGGAAATAAGGGTCTACAGACTTGTTTAAAATCTGATTGTTAGTTGCTACGTATTCAATAAGTCCATTTTTAGGCTAAGGTGATTTTAAGTGACCCTCCATATTCAATTCACAATTATGATTAGAGTATTAAATACGAAATTTTGAAAATGTGATTTTCTTGCTGGATTTAAAACCTTTTTTTTTGAGGGTTCACCCCATATATAAATATACAGAAAAATAGATAAACAGATAAATAGATAAACAGATAAGCAGATGAATATATGTACAGATAAACAGACAAACATTTAAATAGATAAACAAATAAACAGATATACAGATAAAAAGATATACAGAAAAATTGATAAGTAGATAGACAGATAAACAGATAAATAGATAAACAGACAAACATTCAAACAGATAAATATATAAACAGATAAAAAGATAACTAAATATACAGATAAACAAACAGACATCTAAACAGATAAACAAATAAACAGAAAAACAGATAAATTGATAAAGAAATAAACAGATAATCTAATAAACATGAAAACAGATAAACAGACAGAAAAGTGTATGAAGTGATGAGATAAGAACAGTAAAAATAAAATAAAAAACAACAAAGATAAGACAAACAAGAACAAAAATATTTATTTATTTTGATTACAGAGATTTAAACGTTGATCTGGAGAAACTACAAGCCCAGCTAGACGAGGCCGAACAGAGCAGAGCACATCTACACCAGGCCGAACAGAGCAGAGAACTTTATATTCAAAGCTTAGACTTCAATCAACGGACAGCATCTAAGATTAGTGAATGCTCGGGGAATGAAGGAAATATTCTTTTTGAACTTCTTAACGAGAGAATAAAGGAGGTAGAAATAGAAAATGAGAGATTGAAAGCCAGCGCCATCTTTCATGATCAGCTGATTTTACAGATAAAAGAGATAAACAGCAAAATAAAAGATCAAGAACTTGAGAAAAATAAAACTGAGCACAGCGATGTATGCATCTTTGAACCTGGATCCTTTGAACCTGAAACCATGCCTGAGTTTCTACAGTTGCAAGAACTAGAGGAGTTAAATCAGAATGTAACAAAACTGCTCAAATCCAGAGAACTTGAGAAGATGTCATCTATTAAAAGGAAAAGTGTTGATATCTCAAATCAGATCCCAGAAGGGAATAAAGATATAAAGGAAGAACAAGGATCAACAATTGTTTTAAGTAGAAAAGCAGAGGGGCGGAGCTCCCTAGCTGAAATAGAACTGCAAGAGAAAAGAATTTTACAAGCTCAGAAAGAAAATGAAGAAGCTGAGCGTGAAACAGAATACAAAATGGCTCTAGGCTGGCAGATGCAAGAGGACGAAGGAAGCTCTACATTAGGAAGACGATCTGAAAGTGTAGAGCAGCTTAGTAGACTGGTGAAACGTGAACTAGAAATTTCCGATCACCTAGACCGAGCTATTCTATCCTATCAGGACCAGGAAGGGTATGGAGTGGAGGGGAAGGAAGGGTATGGGATGGGGGAGGTTGAGGGGAGAGATGAGCTTGAACATCGTCTAGAGATGATTTCCCAGCAGATTGTAGAAAAACTTCTTAGAAAAATTGGAAATACAGGATTCCTCAACTCCAACTCACTTGAAACTTTTAAAAAGGAACCTTTGATGCTGACAACAGAAGCTTTGTTTAACCCCAAAGAAGAAGAGTTTACCATTAAAGATGAATTGAACCATAAATCAGAAGATAATCTTAATGTCGGAAAAAAGACAGAAAGGAAGAAAGCAAATGAAGAAAGAGAAGTAGAAAGAATAAACTTTCAACTAGAAAAGAGTAGATATGATTTCAAGCAGATGCAATCAGCAGTTCATAAGGAAAGACAGCAATGTTTGAGTTTAATGGAAAGACTGGAAGTAGAGAAAGCAGATAAACTTGAACTAGAACTTCAGCTAGATAAACTGCAGGATGAAATGAGAGAGTTGGAATCACAGCTAATTAGACACAGAGATGAGATAGAAGAGTTGACCGCACTTTACCATTCAGAGAAGGAACAGAATAGAACACTAGAGGAAGTTCTAGGATTTGAGAAACAAAACTTGATAAAACTCAATGCATCATTAGACAAGGAAAGACAAAGATCCCGTGAGGTCTCTATCAGAGATACTGACACCATTCTCGAGCTTAGAACAGCTCTGGAAGTTGAGAAAGAAAAGGGAAGCCGACTAACCCTGTATTCCCCCCAGCTGGGAATTAAATCCCTTTATGGAAGCAGTAGACACTCCCTTCCAGGGTTCAGATCTCCTGGTGGGTTACCAGAAATATCTGTGGATAACCTACTTCTAGACACAGAGAAGGAAGATATTTTATCAGATTTAGAAGATGAAAGAGAACGCTGTGATAAACTCAAGGAATGTTTGGAAATTGAACGGGAACGTTATTCTCAATTGGAACAGTCGACTCAGATTGAGTTGAACGAGATTATGAATCAGGTTTCTGAATCTCAGGAAACTGCTCTCCAGTTTAAAAAGAAATATGAGGATACAGAATTGTACAATGCTGAGCTTGTACAACAAATTGAAACATCGCAAGAAACTATTCAAAACCTTTCTCAGGAATTGGAGAATATGGAACTTAAACTTCAGAAGAAGCAAAGTGGGGAAGTAAATGGAAACCAGAAATATGATGCATTTTATATGGAGGATCTTGAGGCAAAAGTTGAAGCGCATCGGGTTCGGGAGATGGAACTTGAAGAACAAATCAGTTTGTTACAGAAGGGTGACAGATCTGCCCGTAGTTCTCCTTCTTATCAGTTAATTAAGACTGGAAGCTTTGCAATGACAGCCAAACATCTACCACCTGACCCACAGGAACAGGCAGTTTACTTTTATCGTCTTCTTCTGCGGGCAGAAAGTTATAGAAAAGGACTGGTCTGGCAGAAGAGATACCTTTCACTTCTCCTTTCTTCATATCAGGAATCTGAAATGGTAGCTTTGGAACGGCTAGCTAGGATGTCAGGGGCTAGGAGGACACTTATAGCTGACACACAACACTCCAGACATGCTAGGCCATCATTCAAGGTTGTTGCAATGACAGTTATAGCTGTACAACGGATGAAGTTCCTTGTGAAGAGATGGAGAAAAACAAGACGATCTCCAACGATGGCGCCAAATTCAACCCAGAATGAGAGTTGGGTTTTAAAGTCTAAAGTTCCAGTGCGCCAAGAGACAATTAATAGATCCCCTCAACTGGACTTTTCAAAGAAAAAGTAGCATTTAGAATTCTTCTGAGATAAAAAGTAGCTAATGAGAATTCTATCGAGGATGATTTAAGTAGTGTCAGAAAATTGTCGAGAATGAAGAGTGTCAAAAAGTAGCATCAGAGTATTCTTTGGATGTTTCTGAAATAGCTCCTCAAAAGTAGTAACTGAGTCTTTGTTAGAGAAAGATAAAGTAGTATCTAAATAGCTTACTTAGAGTGTGAACTGCAATTTCAATATTTATCTGAGATTTAAATATTTTCTGATGAGGAAAAACGAACTTATTAACACATTCATGGGGGAAGTGGAAGTCGCTTAAAATCTCTGCCAATCTAGTTTGTGAACCAGTAGAGAAATTTATTCTCCAAAATGCATGAACATATTTGAGAAGTCGCAGTCTTTTGAAAGTCTTCCCGAGAGTCCAAAAAAATAACACCAGAGAATTCCTGTAGATGAAGAAGTAGCAAAAATCATGTAAAAAAAAACATTTGAAAAGCTCAAAATCAGAAGAAAGATTAACGGAAAATTCTATGATTTAGAATATTCGTTAAAGAAAGTAGTATCACATGAAAATTCTTGAAAGGGAGAAAGAAGCAGGAAAAAATAAAAAATATATTCCCCCCACAAAAAAGTAGAATTTACAAAAAACGACATTTTAAAAATCTCAACAGTTAAAGAAGAAGAAATTCTTGTATTAGGTAAATTAGAAATATTTCGGAAAATACTTTCTGTGAAAGCATATCTTTGTTTTTTACCTGCAGGGTTACCCACTAAGGATGAGACATCAGAGATAACTTTGTACAGAATTTATATTGTCTGTTTCCTTATATTTATGATTTCCTACAACTACATATTTAACTTGTTTCTTTATTTAATTAATAATATATTAAGCTATTAAATTACTATCAAAGGCTTAATTTAAACTTTTTAAAAGTTGTTATGTCATCTTCACAGTCTCATCCTTTGTGGGTAACCCTGTAATTTATAAATTCACAAAGAATAATTACGAATGTTGTTAAAAATCTCTAACCAATCATTTGAAGCAGAAATATGAACAGTAAATAATGCCTGTAAACATATGTTTAAAAAATTGTGACTCCCCTGAAATTATTTTAATATCTAACAGATAATGAAAACTAATAATAATATACTAACAAATCTTTTTAAGTAGAAAATCAATAAACAATACAAAGACTTCTTTCCTTTAAATCGTCAAATCTACAGATTTGAAAAATTCGTGAAAAATTATAGGCTCCGAACAAAGCTTTGAATAATGAGAATTTAAACATTTATCAATTTACAGTGATAATCAGATAATTCTGAAATAGGAAGACGACTTTACAGCAATACTTAAGTGAATTTGATGTTGATACAAAGCAAGTAGTTTTACTTAACACTTATTAAATCACTATGTGAAATGGGTCTGTTTACACTGCACAATTGCGGTGTCCCATGCTTATTAAAAGTCATAACTTGAGTCTAAAAGTTGTCTTTCTATTTCAGAGTTGTTCTGTCTTAAATATAGTTTTAAAAAAAGGTCTTTTATTAAACGAAGGAATTTTCAGAATATTTTGAAAATACGATAGTTTTTATCTAAAAAACGATTTCAATTGACAAACGATTTTACTGAACGATCGTTCAGTGAGAAAACGAAAGAAATAGATGGAAACCTGAACGATAATTTTGAGACCGAACAAACTCCATTTTTTTAATGAAACAATAAAAAAAAACCAAATGAAATGGATTGTTCACGAACGAAATAAAAACCGCCGACCGCGACCATCTCTACGACTGTGGTTTTATTTTTTTTTATGGATATGCTGGGACTTTAATTTTTCTATATTGTGCAAATAGATTCTAGTACAATAGATGGTAACGTAGAATATGTACACTAGCAGTACAGTTGTATTCTGACGTTACAAGTGTCAACTCAGTTTGTGTGTCCCGACAAAATTATTAATAAAAATGATAATTTTAGAAAAAGTGCTTATTTCACAGTAAAATAAGTGCAATTTAATGTGTTCTTTATTTTCGGTTTTTACGCTTTTTTATTTGAACTTGGAAAACATGTCAACTAATTTGAGAAAATTTCGTTTTCCTTGTTATATTTGACACTTGTGACGTTGTGTATAATTGATCCATTTCTCTGTTGCCACCTATTGTACTTGATAATCTATTTCTCTGTTGCCACCTATTGTACTTGATAATCTATTTCTCTGTTGCCACCTATTGTACTTGATAATCTATTTGTATATTGAGTTAAATATCATATCTAACACTAGTAAATAATCAATTCGACAAAACTCGCCTAGTCGGGTCTCACATTGAACATTTAGAGTCGAGACTAAGCTATTAAACCTTGATCTCGGCATCCAAATTAGGAACTTTTAAACTTGAGGATAAATGGTGGATCCCTGCAGAGTTTACATCGTAATCTGAGGCAAAACCAGCTAAGTGAGGCCATTTTAATCGTTTTTCATTTAATAATATCTTATCAGTCTCTAAATTTCTATTCCCTACAATGTCGACTAGGAAACTGTAGAATAAGACGACATTACAGCAATACTGAAGTGCATTTGATGCTGTCACAAGCGATAAATTGTTCAAACAGTATATTTATTGCAGTTAAAGCAAATGGTGAAATGTGTCTTTTATAGCACAATTGTCTTTCTTATGTTAATTGACTATTTAAAGTCAAAACTTAAGTAAAGTCGTCTTCATATTCCAAAGTTTTATAGTTCTCATGGCAGCACAGAGGATCTTCAACAGGTTGTCTTCGTTGCTCATTTTTTGACCCTTTGTAGCGTTTTGACCATTCCTCGTGTTAGTTTTAGTAATGCTCCGTTCTTATACATTTAAGCTTTTTATTGGATTTAATGTGATCTAAAAGTTTACTTTCATTACATTGAGCAAACAATTTGCTTAAACCAATGGTTTCCAAAAATCCTCTTGGTTAATAACTCTGAGGCCGAATTTAAAGAATTAGAGCCGCGGCTCAAATATGATTGGTTCCACTTAAAATTGTATTCAATATTTCAAGATTTAAGCCGGCATTCAATTGAAAAGCGGTTGTTGGCGGATGTGAGACGCGGCTCAAATTCATTAAATTCGGACTCTGGCCAGAATAAAAATTTAGCATAAAGTAAGAAGATTTATTGAGCACACTATTTTCAATCAGGTTTAGCATCTCAAGAACAATCCAATAATCCAATAATCTTGAATACTGATACCAGTCAGTTAACAGAGCTGAGGTTGTAACATTAGTGTGGTGACGCTTGATATCGATATCCAATGTGAACACTTTTAAACTAGAGGATAAATCAATCCGTAGATCTAAATTAGATGCAGATAGTTGTTTTATACTTCAGGGCACTTACAAACATTACTTTATCAAATACATTAAAGGATTACATTATATATTAATGATTAAACTTTATAACTTATTATTTTATTATTTAAAACGGCTATAAATCAATATACCTGTGTAGTGCAGTGTGCAAGGAACGGGAGAAGGCAGGCGGCCATATGCTGCAACAATTTTAGCCATGCCATAAGCCATAACCCACAACCATGCGGTCTTCCATGCCCAATCAGTCTTTGGCAATTTTACGTTTTCAAGTTTCTAAATTGCGATTTTCAAAAATCCAGCAAAGTCGTGCAAAAGATATCTATAAAAATATTTATATTTAAGTTTTAAATTGAAATAATGATGAGTCCTTTTAATCTTAAACTTACTTTCCCAAAAAATAAATTCAATCTTTCCTCTAATTGGTTCATTTTTGAAAATATTATGAACAATTAAAATAATGCAACATAACATACACCCTTTAAGTTCAAAGCAGCAGATCCGTAACTGCAGGGGGGAGGGATTGCAAGGGGTCATGTGCATATCCACGTTTCTGCTAAAAATTTGCACCCGTGGGTTTTAAATAAGTTGCTTAGTATAATTTTCTCTTAAAAAATTGAGATATTAGCATTCAAAGTTTTCAAAAAATTTATCATTCTGTAAACTGTAAACTGTAAACTGTAAACTGTAAACTGTAAACTGTAAACTGTAAACTGTAAACTGTAAACTACTGTATACTGTATACTGTATACTGTATACTGTATACTGTATACTGTATACTGTATACTGTATACTGTATACCAAAAACAATTTGTCTCAGTGCCCACGAAGACATTTCTAAAATTTCTTCGCGTAATTGGCTGGAATTAAGTGCATTGAAAAAACAATTTCAATGCGCTAAATTTATCATTTAAATTGTAATAATTGCCGGAAGACTTAAATGCTGTGGCATGGAAGATCGCACGGTTGTTGGCTGCTGGAAGAAAAAAAAAGCTAAAATGTGGTATGGAAGGGGAAAATGTTGTGGCTTATAGTCGCCTGCTCGTGCGAATCATTACTAATGCCTTTCTTTTTAAAGGGACCCATAGCAATGTCCGATTCACAATGGTAACCTTGAAATCTCTTGCCGATCATTTAGATGATTTCCATATTTTTTTTATATTTTAGAAATGCACAAGTCAATTTTGTAGAGAACCCACATTTGAAACTAATCAGTTTTCGAAATTATAAACATTGATATCTAATACATACTAGACCAGACGAAGGTTTCGAGGGTACCGTTGTGAATCAGGCATTGTCATCTTTACATGGAGAATCAGTTGAAATTTCGCTTATAGTCCCTTTTAAGAGAAATGAGATTAATTTCCCATTTGCCTGAGCAAATATTAGAGAAAATTAAAAAAATGAAACTAAGAAAATTGTATAAATATTAACTGCCACAAAAATTACGTCAACGAGGTCAAAACAAGATTTTTTTTTAAATCAGAAAGTTTTCAATTATCCTAGTCAATCTTCCAAACTGTTTGTATCAAGGATTTTATCTAAATGCGTTAAAATCTCTTTTTTCCTTCCTAAATTCTATATTTTTTTCATTCTTGGAAAAAATGAATAAGACAAGAACAAAAATATTATCCTGCATAAAATCGAAAATTTTGTGGTTGTTCTTAAAAATAACCAGAAAGACCCGAAGCAGACAACTTTACGTACATATATATCTGGTAAAATAATAAAAGCAGACCACATTTTGGAATTGGCAGGACTTGAGCTATTTTGTTATTATCGTTTCATCAATCATATTTGTAAAAATTAGATTGTAAAGTCGTCTGATTAATTATACCTAATTTCCAGAACTTTCTAATTATCAAACATTGAACTAATGAAATCCGTTATAGTATTAATGTTGCCATATTATTAGTTCACCGATTTAATGAATTTGAGCTACCTACTGCCAGTTCAAATTTGACCCACCAATTCAAAATTAAAGATGAAGGAATGATTTGAATTGGTAATTAAAGTTTAAACCGGCACTAGGCAGTTCAAAATAATTAATTCTGTCCCAGAGTTCTGCACACTTAGTGATGTGCTTTCAGGTGATGCGTTTTTCCTGTAGTTTTTACTAACAATTTGACATAGTAGCAAATATTTACTAAATTTCATATTCTTTGCATTAGCTTTTCTTCAAGTAAGTCGAATTTTGACCAAGATGTAAGCAAAAAACGACCAAAAACGATATAAAAACTAAAGAGCTGTAACAATCGTTTTTTAAATTTTTATTATTTAGGATAAAAATATTGCAAAGTTTGAAAAAGCAAATTTTACCATAAAACAGTTTGATTTGATGAAAGTTTGATTTTTTTTTTCTCTAAAAACGATCAAAAACGATTAATAACGCTTTGTGCACAGAACCAGCCAGGCCTCCTTGGTCATTAGTTTTTTTATGGTATTTTAACAACTTGAGGCCCAATTTAAAGAATTTGAGCCGCGGCTTAAATTTTAGACACGGATCAAATATGGTTAGTTCCACTTTTAACTTGTATTCAATGTTTCAAGATTTAAGTCGGCGCTCGATTGAAACCGTTTTTAGCGGATTTGAGGCGCAGCTCAAATTCATTAAATTCGGACTCAAGTGACGTATACCTTTTTCAGATTAACAATCCACGCCAAATTTGGTGTAGTCACTTCCGCATAAAACATTGATGTTCACACATAAAATTGAAAACCCCGAAAATATGATATTTGGACACTTAAGAATTCCCCCTCAAGAGGCCGGGTCAAAAGCAAAAAATGTAAAAAGTGTAAAAAATGTAAAAAATTGTAAAAAATGTAAAAAAAAAATGTGAAAAAATGTAAAAAAAAATATTAAAAAAATGTAAAAAAATGTAAAATAATGTAAAAAAATGAATATAAAATGTAAAAAAATGTAAAGAAAATGTAAAAACAATGCTGAACTTCCTTACCTTTCCGACAATATATTTTAATAAACATGATGTTCAATCCAACATGTGCTGTTGGATTGAACATCATGCAAAAATTCAGTGTCACAGAGTAAAGAAAGACGACATAAAACAACAAAAACGCACTTTTTTATTAGCATTAGAACATACATACATACTTCTAAAGATCTCCACAGAATTGCTGCAAAATATTCACAAACACTGCAGAAGACAATGTTTACTAACAATGCAACTAACCGCAAAAAATAAATAATTAAGCGTAGAACAAAAAACACGAATTTTAGAAATTCTCGCACTCGTACAGTGCACAGTACACACAACTGCAGTACGTAATGTTTATTTACAAATTAACTAATTCATTTTACACACAACCGCGAACAGAGCAAAAAACCACAGAAAATGTGTAAAACAAATTGATACTAATTGCAACAAAATATATATATATAATCGTAGCACAAAAAAAAGTTTTACGTTACATACATACGGCACTACATTCAACAGTACATGTACACACACCGCTGCAGTACACAATACAGATTGTGCAGTACAAAATGTTTACAAATAAAACAAACCAATCTGTTATACAAAGCACTGTTAAAACTTCTCACAATGCAGTACAGTAGACGCTCTTTTTTTTCGAACAAACATTAGCGCAGTACACAATGTTTACTATTCTGATGTTAGCGCAGTACACAATGTTTACTAACAAACTATGTCGCACTAAACAAACACCAGGTTTGCGCAGTAGAAGGAGAATATACTTTACCTTCGCAAATTATCATTAAAGGCTTACCTACAATATTAATAATGATATTTAAGAACGAATTTATGAACGAATTAATAAATGAATGAAAAAGAAGGAAAGGATGAATGAATTACAGGTATAGCGGCCAAACTCTGTTGCTCGCGAATACCGCAATGAATTATAAGAAGAGAGAGATTAGCATATATTTTAGGGTTAGTTTAGGTTTAAACACTTTTTGGGGCCGCGCGCTGCGGCTAGGGGGCCGAGCACCGCGGGGAGAACTGGATCTCTGTCTTATAATTCATTGCGGCCTTCGCGAGTAACACAGATTGGCCGCTGCCTGAATAAAATAACAAATAGAGGTGTGAAACATGACACATGAGTAAATTAACAAAATAAAGGGTTTGAGTAATAGAATAAAGTATTGCTAAGATACATAAATGTATGACAAAGAGTATGAAAAATGAATAGATATAAGAGTTAATAATATGGGTTTGTAAAAGTAAATCTGTAAGCTTACATGCGATCTAATTGCCTCCTCGGTCTCCTCTGTATTTATCCCAGCTATTTCCTACACAGATAGATAGATAGATAGATAAGATAAGATAAGATAAGATAAGCAAAGATAAGATAAGATAAGTTAAGTTAAGTTAAGTTAAGTTAAGTTAAGTTAAGTTAAGTTAAGTTAAGTTAAGTTAAGTTAAGTTAAGTTAAGTTAAGTTAAGTTAAGTTAAGTTAAGTTAAGTTAAGTTAAGTTAAGTTAAGTTAAGTTAAGTTAAGTTAAGTTAAGTTAAGTTAAGTTAAGTTAAGTTANCTTTAAACCAATCTTCTATTTTAGAGAGCTCAAAATTTGCCAAATCATATAAGTCGTGTAAGCTTTTTAAAGAAAGATAAGATAAGATAAGATAATATAAGAAAGATAAGATTATATAAGATAAGGGAAAGATCTAAAAATACCCTTATCTTTGAGAGATATATAGATAGATAGATAGATGAATGGATCGACAGATATATAGATGGATATATATTATATATATATATACTAGAAGTTCAAGGCGCTTCGCGCCCTTCTTTCTAGCCTTAGAGGGCGCTTCGCGCCAATCTCCTAAATTAATTGTGAACATGTTCTCTTTGTGTACATCGTAAAACAAAACAAAAATAATTCGCGGATTTTCACAAAAAATTTCGCGGATTTTCAAAATTTTAAAAAATTTAATGACGATCGAATTTTGATGGAGACAAATATTTGAAATTTTGATGATTCATAAACCTTCCCTGGAGTCCCTAGATGTCCCACAAAAAATTTGGGCCCGATCGGTTTAGCCGTTTTGACGTTTATTGGATGGATAGATGTATTGATAGGAAAGATAGACAGATAGGTAGATAGATAGATATAGATATATAAATAGGTAGATATATAAACAAGTAATCTCACCAGAAGAGAATCCGCCACCACCCATCCAAGCTCCGCCACTGCTTCCGCCTCCTCCGCCACCATATCCAAGGGCAGGATTTCCGTACCTGTTATACATTTAATTACAATATTTATATTTGTCTGTTGGTTGGTTTGTATCCAAACTAAAAATTAAGCACAGAAGGAATGTAGCTTTTTTTTGAAATACATAAAAATTCAACAGAAGCATAATGGCGTCTTTGACAGCAACATTCAAATATTAAAATTGTCACTAAAAAAGGGTACGAAAGCCTATTAACGGAGAATTACTATGAACTGATTAATGTGAAGCCTTTTGAAATCTTTAACTTTGTCATTAAGCCGTAATGACCAAAAAACATACAATCTGACAATACAATTATATATTACCCTTCGAGAGCCCATCTAGCTGCCATCTCTACAAACTTGTTGTAGGAACCTCCGCCGTATCCGGCTCCACCACCCCCTCTACCATATCCAGCGCCTCCGCTGTTGTAGCCAGGACCTCCGCCTCCTCCGTAGTTAGCGCCCCCGCTGAACTCACCGCCACCACTACCAGACTCCTGAGTTATATTATTCATTCCTATTAAAAAAAAACTTGAAAAAAAATGATGAAAAATTTAATAAAAACGGAGCTTATCAACACAAGATTCGAATATAATGGTAGAATAAAAAATCAGACCCAAACTATTTTTAACTTGCTTGGAAAGCCAGCTTTGCCTGGGAAATAAGTCGTGTTATTTAATCTTAAACGCTTAAGGTTCTAAGGAGTTCCCCCATGCAAATTTGAGGCATATCGGTCAAGGGGGTTTCTGAGTTATAATCGGACATCCAAACAAACCGAACAAACAGGGATTACAATTATCCCCGATATTTTGATTTGAATTTTTATTTTATTTTTTCATGAAAAAAGTTAAATTTAATTGAATATTTTCCTTATTGTCCTTGTGAGGTTTCTGTACAGCAGATCCTATACTAACAGTGTGTCCCTAAATTAACACAAAAAAAATAAGAAAAAAAGTATAAATATTATAAATTAAAAAAATAATTGAATTTATTTAAAAAAACAACAACAACATAGCAGCCTAATAAATCGTTACAAATAAAGATGGTTTCTCATCATAAAATTATCTGTAATCTCCAATAATAACCTTAGTTAGGGTCTTTGGAGACATCACAACATAAACATAAGTGCTAGGATCAATCATGGACTAGAGGGCAAGATTAAGCAAAAGGGAAGGAATGATCAAGGGAAAGATCGATCGAAGGGAAAGAATTGATCAATGTGAAAGATTGATCGAAAGGAAAGAATTGATCGAAAGGAAAGAATTGATAGAAAGGAAAGAATTGATCGAAAGGAAAGAATTGATCGAAGGGAAAGAATTGATCGAAAGGAAAGATCGATCAAGGGGCAGGACTAAAACAATCAAGAGGCAGAAAAAAAAATTGGTAAAAACACGAATAAGAAAGAATAAAATTGACGTAAAATCCAGGTTTATGTAATTTTTATGTTTTGAAATTATTATGGGTTTCTTTCCTCTGCGTAACCTTGAAAACCTTTGTTTGCTTCTTTAACAAAATGATTTTTAACTAGCTGTGAATTTAAATTTTTTAACTTCAATTAAAAAAAACAAACTTAACAATAGAGTTTTGGATCCAGTTAGATATGAAAAAAGAGAGCTGAAACCCTACCTTAATATCGTGTTCCATCCCCAGCAAACTATGAGCAACATCGGAATCGGAAAACTAAAAAAACGTGTAAATGTTGGAACGATAAAGCCAATGGTTAAAGCCAGGGTTACCCACAAAAGATGAGACTTTAGAGACCTCGGTTTGGAATTAATTCTGATATTTATAATTCCCTGCAACTGTAAACTTTTTAAACACAAGAGCAATTGCAAACATAAACGATAGCGCTAACGCATAACCAATTTAAGTAGAATGACAGCGATATAATATCATGCGAATGCAAGTACTAAAACGTACAAAATCGCCAATGCAAAACAAACAACAAGCTATAAACAGTAAACACTACCATAAATACAAACATCGTTAGACAAAAAAAGCCACCATGAAGACAAACAAACAAACTAAAAACGCCACCATGAAGACAAACAAACAAACTAAAAACGCCACCATAAATACAAACATAGTTAGACAAAAAACGCCACCATGAATACAAACAAACAAACTAAAAACGCCAACGCCAAGCAAAAACAAAAAAAAACACCTAAAACGCCAACAATTTTTCACCTGAACAAAAGCAAATCGTCTGAAAGGCTGAGGAATGTACACATCTGTAACTGTTCCAAAATTCTCAAAATGATCCTAAATCAATTTCGTTTTTAAAAATAATTTTTCAGCGGTGAAACTTTAATTTAAAAAACATAGGATTTATAAGCACAATTTAAAATTATATAAAAATCATCAAACATTTCTTCAAAATATTGTAAATTATTTTGCGTTACTAAACTAGGTAATTTTAAATACAAAATATTATATAAAATATTTCTAAAAAATAGGATAATAAAAACCTTCAAATCTTCTTTACTGATACTCTCTGACAAAAAAAAGAGGGGAATATATTTTTGAAGAAGGTGGGGTTTAGTATTTCTGAGGAGAATATATACCCCTAAATCAGTGAACATTACCTTACAGGAAGATCTAGTGTCCTGCTTCTGTCCACCAGACTTACTTTCAGGGATCTAAATCAATCAAGTCAATCATGCAATCAATCAACCAATCAATCAATCAATCAATATATTCAAATAATTTTAAATTCAATCGATCAAGCCAGTATCTAAAACAAAAAACATACTCGGATGATGATTTGATAATGATTCTACATTTTCATACCAAAAACAAAGATGAATTCATATTTAATTAAAAACCTAGCTATGGATTACCGATTTACCGCTATTATTCAACCAAATCAATCAATCAATCAATCAATCAATCGACCCATCCTTCAGTCAGTCAATCAATAAATCAAGTAATCAACTGACCTTGACCTCACACCATCTGTCGAGGATTCTGTGTTTGGTCATCAATACCTAGAAAATACAATTTTAAATATTTAAAATATTTTCAAACATTTCTAACTTTAGGTTCAGGGGGGTAAGGTTAGAAATACCCTTCAAGTGACTGTAAGCGTAAATTTTAGAAACCCACCAGGCAAAGATGGCAATGTCGGATTTACAACGATACCCTTGAAATCTTAATCTGATTAATAATGTGGAAGATATTGTCGGTTTTCTAGGTTTCAAAGTGTTTAACTCTGACAAAGTTCTCATATTAATTCAGAACCTAATTTTAAAATAATACCTTAGCCTCAGGTTCTTTACAAACGAACTTGACAAAACCATATCCTGAAATTAAACAATATGAGTGATAGTAATGATACCAACTAAAAAATTATTTCAAGCTAGGAGTTGGGGNCTTACTGACCATTTTGGTGAAAAGCTAATCCATAAAAAACGGGGAAAAGAAAAGACATTTTTCACTCTCAATTTTTACAGTGTTTTAAAAACACCTGGATGCACGGAACACCATGACTTAATTAAACTGAACCCCAAAACATTTAAAATAATAATTAACTTTTCTACCTTTGGATTCTCCGTTAGGTTTACACTTTATATCCAGCATATCTACCTCACCATACTGGGAGAAATATTCTCTGAAAAATAGATAAATAAGTCAGTTATGATACCAAGTAAACTTAAAGTCAAAGTGTATTCTAAAACCCTTCTAGTGTACTTTGTCATCCCTCTAGGTACTCTGTAATCCCTCTAGTGTACTCTGTAACCTTAATATAACCACTCTACTTAGTGTACAACTGTACATACTTTAGTTACTCCTCCGTTACCTTCGATGGAATCCCTAATATAAACCCAGTAGTGTACTCAGTAACCCCTCTAGTATACAGCTGTACATACTTTAGTTCCTCCTCCAGCGCCTTCCATGGAATCCCTTATGTAATCCCTCAAGAAAAGTGTACTCTATAACCCCTCTAGTGTACAACTGTACAATTATACATACTTAAGTTCCTCCTCCGTTGCCTTCCATGGAATCCCTAATATTACCAGATCTATTGGCTCTGTTCCCTTACTGCTATCCTCATACTAAAAAAAAAATTAGATAAAAAATGTAATTTTAAATAATGGACTCAGTGGACTATACAGTGGGACCCATAAAACTGTGGAATAAGAAGACGACTTTTAGACGCCAAGTTAGGATTAGTCTTTGAACATTGAACATGAAAAACAGCATTTGTGAAGTGTATACAGACCCATTTGACTAAATAATAGTTTCAAAACAACTGGTTTTTGCTTTTAAAAAACATCAAATACAAATATGATTAGTTAAGTCTCGTCTTCCTATTCCATAGTTTCATGGGTCCCACTGTAGTAAATTAGAGAAACGTTGACATAAAGACATATTTGTCGTTTATAACGACTGTCAATGTAATTTCAACTGCCCCTCCATTTAATTAGTTTTCTACTGCATAAATCTACAACTCGCAAAATACTTCTAAAGAGACCCGCAACTGAAAATAATCGACTTTTAGGTGGAAAACCAGGGATATCTCTATTATTTATGCTTAGACGAAGGTTTAAAGGGTACTATTGTGAATCTGACCTCTAAATTTTGAGATGGAGCTGGCGAAGTAACGTTGACAGACCCTTTAATCAAGGTGTTTACACTTCTGTAAGCGAACACGTACGTGAACAGTTCCTTAATAAGTTTACCTTGACATTCTTGCTGACCATCTCCTGGTCGTAGTTCGTCTTCCTCTTCCTCTCATCCTTCTTTCCAGGTACCTCGGGTCTGCAATCGATCAATAAATCAATCAATCAATGGCTGGAAGGAGGAAGCGGTTATGTAAGAAAGGAATTCATGACAGGAGGAAGGGATTGATGACTCGGAGGAGGAAGGGATTATGCAATAAAGGGATTGACGACTCAACGGAGGAAGGGATTATGCAATAAAGGGATTGATGACTCGAAGGAGGAGGGGATTATGCAATAAAGGGATTGATGACTCGAAGGAGGAAGGATTATGTCAGAAAGGGATGGATAGCCGGGAGAAAGGGATTATGTAATGAAATTGATTGATGACTAGAAGGAGGTAGGGATTATGTAATGAAATGGATTTATGACTAGGAGAAAGGGATTAAATAATTTAAGGATTGATGACTTGAAGAAGGATGGGATTATGTAAGAAAGGGATTGATAGCTAGGAGGAAAGGATTATGTAATGAAATGGATTGTTGCCTAAAAGAAGGAAGGGATTATATATTAAAGGAATTTATGACTAGAAGGAGGAAGGGATTATATAAATGTGAAAACATGCATGAGAGTTATCTGTCACATATCCCTATAATTGCACCCATGCATGTTTATGTGAAAACATGCATGAGAGTTATCTGTCACATATTCCTATAAACGACAACACTTGTATGTCTTATTTTCAATGTCAAATCGCGTACAAGTACGCTAGCTTATAGATATCATGTAGTTTTTTCTCTTGAACTGCTGTTTTGTCAATACTTGAATAGATAATGATGTTCTTTAAACTTCACAAAATCTAACCATAGAAAAAGAGACCTCATTTCTTAACATTTCTAAAAATTCCATAGTCCAAAATTTCATAAAAAAGGTTTTTTTTATCTTCTAAAAATAAGAATTTAACATTAATTTTGGAAAGAAAAAATGAAAAAATGTATCCGTAAACTAAAGGATTTTTATTGATTAATTTACATATGTATGTATATATCACAATCGTAAAATAGTTTTTTGTAAAATCAATACAAACAATTTTGTATCTTTAATATAATCTCGATACGGAGATAATAAACATCTAGATCTTAAAAAATGTAACAACCATCTTATCGCTGAAATCAATATTGTCTTGAAGCAGAGAAGGAAAACCAGGTTTAAGCCCAAAATTGCCATATCATGCAATATTTCGAATTAATCAAAATTATCAATCCGAGGCGAACAAAATCAGTGATGCTTCGCGCCCCGCCATACCTGTTGTATGTGGAAACTGGGCCAGGATTGAAGATAACAGCAGAGTTCCTAAAATATGTTGAAATTAAAAAATAAAGATTTTTAGAAATCAAAACCTGTAAAATAAGTAAAATCAACTTAATACAACTTAATTTTGAGAATGTTCAATGTTTAATGTCTAACAGAAAGCAACGACGTATTAAATTTACTCTAAGACGCAGATATAATAATCACGTTTATTGCTTAATATGGTTAGATTTACAAAATTGTCAGAAAATAAAAACATATATAAAATAAACATTTGTTCACAAATTTATTTTTTGACAAATTTTATTTCTTTCTTTTACGACAAGCACAAGCTGTTTAAATGCTATATCCTGAAATAATACATGACGGTGTGAGACCATACAACCCAGAAGAGGAGGAGGTCGTGGTTGATCTGTCACGTGTATTTTAAAAACTATGGAAACCCAAAAATATGATGAATATACAGCACTTGTATTTCGTCTAATCAAATACTCCCCCCCCCCCATACGAAATATACCGAGTTACGCATATTTATAAGTGTATAAATTTGTTATTGTTTATCATTATTATTATTATTTTCATAATTTATATTTTACCGTTTTCTTCCGATTGAATCTCAATTCCTTCATCACTTTCTTCCAGACATATTGAAACCCACTCCGACATTTTTCTGAAATTTTAATATTTGAAGAAAAAAATGATTTTACATCTATATTCTAAAAACTAAAAAATTAAAGATAATAATATTATCATTTTTATTACGAACAATTTTTTTCATGGCTTTTATGCTGCTTTGGAGTATTATCGCAGTAAGAATTTGACAAATAAAGCAATCTTATTTTATTTAATTTGTTGACAGCCAGAAAGGTTAAAGCGCTTGCAATCTGTAATGCCCCGCGTTATTCTGAAATATCAATCAACTAATCAATTTTTATCTCACCACTTTTAACTTTTATTACATAGTATTTTCACATTTGTAAATTTAAAAATCTAAATTTTTTTCTTTGAAATTTTAATTTTTTTTTGGGGGGGGGGGGGGGGAGGGGGGGAGGTTTGGTTGCAAAATAATAACTTTAGATATTGATTATGACAAAACATTTACTCTATATACTCCTGTTTAACTGGCAACCCTTCTAGTTCTACAACTTCTTGATCATCTTCTCTTTCTAGTTCATCTTCTCCTTCTTCTTGTTCTTTGGTATCGTCCTCATGTTCAATTCCTCCGTCTTCAAGATTGTTTCCAGCGTTCTCACTTTCATTCTCATCAGTAAATCCTTCTCCGTCCCTCTCATCTGCGTCCTCTCTCTCTTCCTTCACATTCGTGAACGCCTCCTCTTCCTACAAATTAAATTGAGATTACGAATTGATAATAATAGTTTAGACAATCATTCCGCGTAACTCACTCAAAAATGACCAACAATTACAATCTATATATAAATTTGGCTTGTCTGTCTGTTTGTTTTTTTGTATCCAATACACGTCAAAACGGCTGAACCGATCGGGCCCAAATTTTTTGTGAGACAGCACATGACCACAGGGAAGGTTTATGAATGATAAAAATTTTAAAAAATGTGCTTTAAAGGTTTTTAATTTTGTAAAAAAAATTTAAATTCTTGAAATCCGCGAATTTTTTTTTAAAAATCCGCAAAATTTTNAAAAGCCGGGTATTCATAATTTATCCAAAACAGTCACCCTGCAAGAAGAATGCAAACACCTGAAAGCCGAAATGGCACAGCAAAGACGACTTTCATATTATTACTTAATCTAGTAAATTTTAGTATCATTCATAAAACGCAATTGTTTTCCTACCTTGTACTCAGATCCAAGGACATGCTGGTCAAGGATTGGGTCCAAGCATTCATATATACTGTAGAGGTCCTCCTCAAGCACGTTACACTTATCATCTTCTACAATTCGTGGACATTAAGGGGGCCATTGTTGTAATTTGAAGTGCACTTACAGATTCAAAAATGATAAATAATGTGGAACATATCATTGTTTGGTAATTTCTGATCGTAGGGGTTGTGTAAGGCCCTAGCTCAAATTTAGGCCAAAATAACTCGGGTGATTAATAAAAGAATGATAAGAATGAATGAATGAATCCATGATGCATAAATGCAAGAATGAAAAATGTAAAATCAATTTGAATTAATGACTAGAGGAATGCATATTGAATAGAGAACTAAATGAATAAATAATAAACTCACCTAAAATCCATTTCCTAACATTGATAAAATGAATAAAAAATAAGGAAAGGATGAATGAAAGGATGAATGAATGAATGAATAAATGTAGAAATAAATGATAAACTCACAATGAACCCAAGTACTATTATGATAATTAATGAATAAATAAATGAATGGAAAGGCGAATAAATGAATAAAGAACTGAATGATAAACCCACCTAGAATCCTATTACTGAAAATAAAAAAATAAACAAAAAGATTAATGAAAAATTTAACCAAAGGAGGGTTGAAAGGATGATTGAAAGGATGAATGAATGAATGAATATATGAAAAAATTAGTGAAAGGATGAATGAAAGGATGAAAGGATGAATGAATGAATGAATAGGATGAATGTATGAATGAATGAATGAAGAATTGAATGATAAACCCACCTAGAATCCAAGTACTATTATGATGATCAAGAAAGTGTGTAGGACACTGTGGATTCTTAACACTGTGTGACTCCTGAAAATCAAATAATATTGGAAACTTCAACATTTTCCAGCAATTGTTGTATTTTTGGCCAAAATTAAGTTAAATGGAATTCAGGCCAAGCAAAACAGAGTCAATTTGTTTAAAATCAAAATAAAAACCGAGAGTCCAAGAACATATTGTACTTCAGGACTAAATCGAAGAAGTTAGCTACGTGGTCGTGCAAGGTTATAATGCAAGGAAAGTTGATTGCAGTTGCGTATACTCTGCGTACATATTGAAACCAGTTCTCTCTGGGCGGAATTTGTAAACAAGAATAGATGCTTCAGTGTTCGTTTAGTATCCGAGGAGGATAAAAGCATTTAATTGAAAATTTTGATAATACACATTATAGTTTCCTATGACCAGAATAGTTCATTGATTTTTTATGTGAAAGATGGATCCCATGTCAGGCTGTGATATCCGTCTTGTGTTCACATTACCGCCCAGAGACAGTACACTACAGTACAAAAGATGTGTACACTTCTGAAATTACTTTCCTTGCATTATAACCTTGGCTACGTGGATATCACTTCTGTATGTTTGTAAGGGATAGCATTATTTTTCTTTCTATGTAAAATTTGTACCAATCCAATATACATACTTTATTAACATATTCCAGTTTTTGTTTACAAACAATGAGCTTACTCCGTCATCCAGGTTACCATCAATACATCTGATCATAGTTATATCAGTTGTATTGGAACCCTGGATGTTATAGAAGCTAATCTGAGCTTTTATGGTTTCTAGATTTTGTAGATTTATAAAGTTTATTTAAGTATATGTTTTGTACTTAAAAGCATTGTATCTTTCTTAACTATTTTCAGTGTACAAATAATCGAAGAATTAAGATGAAAAAACCCTTACTCTTCTACCATTGGTACCACCGTATCTGTGAGATTAGGTTTATAAATGATAGCATTATTTTTCTTTCTATGTAAAAGTTGCACCCTATATACATACTTTATTAACATATTCCGGTTTTTGTTTACAAACAATGAGCTTACTCCGTCATCCAGGTTACCATCAATACATCTGATTATAATTAAATCAGTTGTATTGGAACCCTGGCTGTAGGAGCTCATGAATAATCTGAGCTTTTATGGTTTCTAGATTTAGTAGATTTATAAAGTTTATTTAATTATATGTTTCGTCCTTGCATGTATTGTATCTTTCTAAACTATTGCATTTTTTTCTATGTACAAATAACCGAAGAATATAGATGAGAAACCCTTACTCTTCTACCATTGGTAACACCGTATCTGTGAGATTAGGTTTGTAAGGGATAATATTATTTTCTTTCTATGTACAAATAACCGAAGAATATAGATGAGAAACCCTTACTCTTCTACCATTGGTAACACCCTATCTGTGAGATTAGACCATGATTTGAGTTTTTGGGTTACCCAATATTCACTCAACAAAGTTTACATTTTTTCTATCAATTTAGTCCTGAAGAACAGTATTTAGACCCAAAGAAACGGATTTAAGCCCGAAAAACCTGATTTAGTCCCGAAAAATCGGATTTAGTCTCAAAGACCCAGATTGAGTCCCGAAGACCCAGATTGAGTCCCGAAGACCCAGATTGAGTCCCGAAAAACCGGATTTAGTCATGAATAAATATAACCTGGGTATGTTCCCGAATATGCTGGATATAAGCTGTTCTGTAATTACATGTCTGCGCACTGCACTGGAACCCCTGAAAATATCAGAGTTAAAATGGTTCTGTATAAAACTTATTGATGGAGTTGGCGACGATTCTATTACCTATAAAATAAAATACAGTGTACCTTAATTGAAATTAAATAATATGAGACAAATATCTTTGACTGTTTGTGTACATGTCAACTGTGAAGTTAAATAATATAAAATAAATACCTTTAACTGTTTATGTACTGTGAGTACATGTCTGTTGAGAAATTAAATAATATCAGAAAAGTATATAAAACTGTTTGTGTACTGTAAGTACATGTCTTTTGTGAATGTGAAGTTTAAATAATATGAAGGTGTGTAAGATACCTTTAACTGTTTGTGTACTGTAAGTACATGTCTGTTAAGAAGTTTAGAGAACCTAAAGACAGCATCACATTCAGTACACTGGAAGTCCCCGGAACCATGCTCACCCAGATGACTAGAATCAATCAATGAATTAATCAATGAATCAATTAATCAATGAATCAATTAATAAATTGACCAATGACTCACTCAATGAATCCATTAATTAATAAATCCACCAATGAATGAAAGAATGAATAACAGGACGAAAGGAAGGATGAATAAATGAATGAATGACTAAATAAATGAATAGGTGGATGAAAGAAAGGATGAATGAATGAATGAATGATTAAATAGGTGAATAGGTGGATGAAAGAAAGGATGAATGTATGAATGAATGATTAAATAAATGAATAGGTGAACAAAAGGATGAATGAATGAATAAATGAATAAATGAATGACTCCAATTATTTAACTAGATTAAAATTACAGAATTATAAAGGCACCTGTACAAATCCTCTTTTGTTTTTATTCCATTCTTTTTACAAACATAGCACATGAACTGATTCTCCTGAAACATGCGTAACTCGTAAATTAGTGATGAGGGGAGGGGTAATTCTCCCTCCTAGTTGCGCCTTTTATTTTCTTCATCTCAAAAGTCGCACAATTTTTAAGGACAAAGTATTTAAGTGAAATATTAATTATTGAGGTATTAGAAGCAAAAAAAGCATTTTAAATGAGCTTAATTTGATTTTGTCAACTTAGATACATTTTTTTTCAATGAAACTATATTTTTAATGCTTTAAATTTTTACCTTTTGATGAATTCTCACATGTGAGTTGAGAGCGTAGGAATGGGTGAAAACTTTGTCACATATAATACAGGACTTTAAACCCTCACCTAGGCAAACAAAATAATCATAATAAAGTGACTGTCGACGTATTTTAAAGTGATTCTCCATTTATTTTTAAATGTGGCATGTTTGATTTACAACGGTACCCTAAAAACCCTTGAGTGATCAATGAATACTTCTGTCACTTTCTCAAATTGATTATTTAGTGGTGTAAAAGGGGCTTAAAGGGAGTTTAAAGGGGGATAAAAGGGGGATAAAAGGGGGATTAAATGGGTATTAAATGGTGTTTAAAGGGGGATTTTAAAGAGGGATTAAAGGGGGATTAAAAGGTGGTTTAAAGGGCACTATTGTGAATCGGACCAGCCACTTTTTAATGGAAAGCCACTTGAATTTACATATACAGAACCTTTAAGCCAAAAAAAACACATTACAATTTCTGTTTTATATATCTCTTTTCTAAAATGTCGGCACATAATGATTGAACAGTTAATTATAGATATTACCAGTGTGGGTTCTCATGTGATATTTCAGTTTCTGTTTCTTGGAAAAACCCATTCCGCATATAGAACAGGAATCCCTCTCCTCACCTTAAAATTTGAGTTATTACGTTTTCCGGAATTAGCTAGAATGATTTTAAAAACATTGACAATAAGTAGAAAATGAAATTTTTTTCTTATTTTCTTAACATTTTTTTAAAAAAAGTTTTGAATTAATTTGAAACAGTGTCAAACAACACTTTTTTGCACGTAACACAAAATGTCACTTCTTGTTTTTTTTAAATATTCATTTTCTTCTAAACCTTAGTTTAGCGATAACCAATAACCATTTTTGAGGGAATTTCAAAGGAAGAAGTAAATTTTTTAGATTTGCCTAATGCCTAGAAATGTTAAATTATTTTAGAATATTTACCTAAATGAATTCTCTATATTTACCTAGATGAATTCTAATGTGTCTCTTCAGATTACTTCTTTGAACAAAATCCTGTGTTAGGACTCAATTCAATTTTATAGAGTAAAAAAAGTTAATTTTGAATTTTCTTTAAACTTTTTAACATTTTTTAAAACATTTTATCTCGAAATGGGCCAATCACTATCACAGAGAAACGAAACCGCAAATGAAAATTACCAGTTTAAAGAAACAAAAACATTGATATCTAATTCATCTGTGAACAGACAAAGATTTTATGGGTAACGTTATAAATCGAGCATGTCATCATTGCATGGAAGATCATTTGAAAATACTCTCTTTATGCACTGATTTTCAAATTAAAAGTTTCCATGTCTCAAAAGTTACCATGTCTCAAAAGTTTACATGTTTCAAAAGTTTCCATGTCTCAAAAGTTTCCATGACTCAAAAGTTTCCATCTTTCAAGTTTCTTAGGAAGTATAACATTGATAAAAATTAGATAACATCGAACTGGTTCCTTTGGGCAGTGCGGGCATTTATGCCTGGGTCCACTGTGTATAAGCGCATGTTCTTTAAAAGTATCTCTTCTAGAGAATACTTTCTCACAGAAAGAACAGGTAAATAAACCAGAATTCTAAACATTATTTATACAGTTCAAATATTACATTAACAATAGAAGTATTAACCTAAACATAATAATAATAGTAATTATGAAAATGATAATGGCAATGGCAATGGCAATGGCAATGATACTGCTCCTAGTACAGTGGGACCTATAAAACTGTGGAACAGGAAGACAACTGTTATGTTTTTAAATAGTCCAAAGTACAGGGTGTCCCAATAAACATGAGAATTTAGTGACGAATTCGATATCGTCTTTGATAATTCTTTGATTTAGTATAGAGATACCTACTGAGAAAGCTGTAATCTGTAAGAGTTTCGCCTGCTATGTCCACATTTTGTTTGTTTATGTTTTGACTGCATACGGTTGTACTTAGAAAAACAAGAAAATTACAGTATACAAACAGAGTAAACTTGTCCGTCTTCACTGTTCCTCATGCATAGGCATTATAAACACATCTTTACAGTCTTTTACAATGCTAATTCATTACTAAGACAATATCGAATTCGTTACTGAATTCCCATGTTTTTTTGGGACACCCTGTACATATAACACAGGAATTGTGTAGTGTACACTAAAAAATAATGGTAAAAGTATTTGATTTATGATATTATTAAAAGTACATAAGATTGCTTAAATGTCGTCTTCCTATTCCAGAGTTTGACCAGTCTGAAATATAACTTTAAGTATAAATGATCACCATATATATATATAGTATATATCTGTCTGTGTTCCTGTCTAAAACTATCTAAACCTTGTAAAAACATCTGCTATAACAGCAACAAATGTTTATATTTTAACATTGTCAGCAGATTATTCACGAGTTAGAATTGATATCATTTAAAAATAAATTCAATTCTTTTACATCCAATTTCACATTACAATTAATATTATGAATATCTTACTAGCTGTTATATATTTAAATATATATAATAAAACATTCGAATATATATGTTGCGAATAGCCGCCGGCCAAACGGCTGGACCGATTGGGCTGAATTTTTTGTGAACACTCATGGGTGGACGGGGGGTGTTATATTCGAAATTTTTTTTCTCAAATTTTTTTTATTTCAAATTTTTTTTTCCACGGGCAACACCGGGCCCTTCAGCTAATTTTACATAATTTTAGACCCCTCTGCATAGATGTCCCTGTACAAACCCTACCTTATGTACCCCTTTGTATACCTGTACAAACCCTACCTTATGTATCCCTCTGTATACCTGTACAAACCCTACCTTATGTATCCCTCTATATACCTGTACAAACCCTACCTTATGTACCCCTCTGTATACCTGTACAAACCCTACCTTATGTACCCCTCTGTAAACTGTACAAACCCTACCTTATGTACCCCTTTGTATACCTGTACAAACCCTACCTTATGTATCCCTCTGTATACCTGTACAAACCCTACCTTATGTATCCCTCTATATACCTGTACAAACCCTACCTTATGTACCCCTCTGTATACCTGTACAAACCCTACCTTATGTACCCCTCTGTAAACTGTACAAACCCTACCTTATGTTCCCTTCTGTATACTGTACAAACCCTACCTTATGTACCCCTCTGTATACCTGTACTAACCCTACCTTATGTACCCCTATGTATACCAGTACAAACCCTACCTTATGTACCCCTCTATGGTTGTACAGACCAGATCTTGAGCTAAATGTTATTCCGCATTCTAAAATAAATATAGAATTTTTAACAATTATATGGAAAAAAATGTTGTTGGAAATGTTCCGAGTTTTACCAAACAAACAAACAAGCAAGTTTTCAACAATCATTCCGTCGAAAAAAAACAAAAATTGCGGTTAAAGAAACCTGTGCAGGAGTAGGGTCGTTCATACTTGTGCTTCTCACTCATATGTACGGTCTTTTCTTCTGAACTGGCGAATCTAATAAATAAATTATATCAATTAATCAATCAACTATGCACCAAATTATCAAACAATCAATGGCTTAGCCAATCATTTAATCAATCAAGCAACCAAGCAACCAACTCATCAAGCAAGCAAGCAACCAATTACCCAGATAATCAATTATTTACCTGATTTTACAAATTCTGCATGAAATTTTCTTATTTTGTCGAGGTTTCGATTTGAGTTCGTTGTGTACACTCACCACGTGGTTTTTCAGAGCACGTGGAGATTTGAATACTTTATCACATTTAGTACAGGATAATTCTTCCCTGCAACAGAAATGACTCATTTCTTAGTCTTTAAAAAAACAAACAAGCGAACAAACAAGCGAACAAGCGAATAAATATACCCATTATATTCCTGTTTATGCAGTGCCACGTGGGTGGCCAGTGTATTCTTCGAAGTGAACTGAGATAAGCAGTAAACACACTACAATACAAACAGTATCTTTATTATGTTTATGTGTATATGAAGGGAGTGTTCATGGATTTTTAAACGAAGACATACCTTGATTGGAATGTTCTTTATTCCAATCTAAAGTTTATTTATAGAATTTACGAAAAAAATATAAAAAAGTTTTTCTTTAATACAACAGCCTAGCAATTGAGTAAATGAGCAGGCTATGTCTAAATTGAGTATTAATCAACTTACTGTCTACTTTAAAGAGATGTAATTTCATGTGGAGATTAGCAATGGTATATTCTTTAAATTGTTGTTAAAGAAAAAATCTTGTTATTTTAACTGAAAATTGATTATTTTATATAGAGATTGTCAATAATAGCGACTTGAAAATAAGTCGACTGTTCAATGGGACAGGTGACGGATATTAAAGAGGGTGTTGTATACTAAATCTACCTGGTAAAGTACAGCTCTAGGATGAATTTCCTTGATGTGAGAGGAGAGAAGAGATTTCAACGGGAACAGAAGATCACACTGCCCACACTTAACAACGATTATTTCAAAGCTTTATCTGCTGGGAACTTTAGAATGTATAACCTTTAATCCCAACTAATTAATCCGAATATCCACTGTGGAAACTTTTTATTTTAGTCCTTAATCCACTCTTTTTCTCTCTCTTTGGATATCCGTACATTGTTTTCTCCAATGAGAGTGCAGGAATATAGTTCGTAAATTGTATTTACCAATGACAGCCATGAAAATAAATTCTATCCCATGAGAGAAGTCCGCAATCTAACAAATAAAGAATTTTTTGTCGGCCATTTTGTAAATTTATCGGCGAAGAAAAAAATTTAATAATACGTTTGAGATTCTTTTTTAACCAATTTTAACTAATGTATTAATAAATAAATGTGTGAGAAATTAAATGAAGTCAAGAAAACCAACAAATATGGCATTCCTAGAATCAAATTTGTTGATCTAAATAATAATCTCGAGACTAACATAATCTCAAGATTATGTTAGCCTCGAGATTAGCAAAAAGAGAGGATCAAGCTTTAATCCTGATATCCACCATTCTAAAGTTCCCAGCTCAAGATATCCCTGTTTTCTCTTTGACAATTTATTTACTTTTTTTTACTTCAAAGAAGAAATTTTCAGATATAAACACTTTTCAAGCTAGAAAAAACTACAATAGTTTTCACATTATTAACCGTTGTGAATTGGAAATGCCCCTCAGCACACCCGGCCCTGTACCTTATAAGACACGGTTTCGAAGAGTGGTTCTCCTGGATGAATGCGCTGGAAATGTCTCCTAAGCGCTGTTTTGTTCGGTGATATATGCGTGCACAGAAAACATTGTTCCACATTTACACTCTCCTAGATTTTAAAAATATTCACTTATTATATTAACACAAGGATATTCATTCTTATATATTGAAAAATAAGATTTAATAAAAAATTCAAATCCCTTCGGGATTAAAATTTTTCTAATTCTTTTTAGAGTAAATGAAACAATTCCTTTAAAAATAAATCTTCTATTCTGTTTTTTTTTAAAGTTCTTAAATTCTAAAATTATTGGAAGAATGAATAAATAAATGAATGAATGAATGTATTAAAAAATGAATATCTAAATGAGAGGATAAATGAATTATATTGTGAATTCAAAAATAAATACATGAATTAAAGTTTAATGCATAGAGGGATAAATAAATGAAAGTGAATGAATAAATGAAAAAATGAACAGAATTAATGAAATAATGAATCAATGAATAATTGAAAGAAATGATGAAACAATGAATGAATGAAAAAATGAATGAAAATGTCAATCAAAGAATAAAAGAATAAAAAAAAGAAAGGATGAATGAACGAATGAAAGTATAAATGAATAAATGAAAATATTAATAAAAGAAAGAATGAATAAATGAATAAATGAATGACACTATCAGGAAAATAATAAATGTAAGAATGAATAAATAAATAAATGAAAATATCAATCTAAGAATGAATAATTGAAGAATGACAAATGAATGAGTGTAAAAATGAAAAAAAATGAAAGAATAAGGACCTTATGTGTCCTTGAAATATGTGATTTCTTCTCTAATATACTAGGAAAACTCTCTGTACAGAACTCACAGCTAAAGTTCAGATAGTCTTCAGCGATAGTGCCTTGTAACAGTAAGAATAAATACAAGAACAAGAACAAGAACAAGAACAAGAACAAGAACAAGAACATGAACAAGAACAAGAACAAGAACAAGAACATGAACAAGAACAAGAACAAGAACAAGAACATGAACAAGAACAAGAACAAGAACAAAAACAAGAACAAATACAAGAACAAGAACAAGAACAAGAACAAGAACAAGAACAAGAACAAGAACGAGAACGAGAACAAGAATACTAACAATAACAATTACATTTACAGGGACAAGAACAATACACTTAAAATAAGAATAAGAATTATAACAAGGAAAAGGAAAAAGATAAGTATGAGGATAAGAATTAGGATTAGGATAAGAAAAAGGATTACTATAAGAATAATAATAAGAATAAGGATAAGGATTAGGCTTGAGGATAAGGAAAAGGATAAGAACAAGGATAAGGATAAGAATATAAGGTAGAGGTTAAGGATAATGATGAAGATAAGGATAAGGAAAAGGATAAGAACAAGGGTATGGATAAAAATAAGGATAAAGATAAAAATAAGCATGCGAATAGGACTACGAATGGAAATAAAAATAAGAATAACATTGATACTAAGAAAACAATAGAAAAGGAATAGTTGCTATAAAAACAAAAAACAAAACAAAAGAAATTACAGAAATCTTTGAAAAGAGAAATTACCATGGCAGTTTTTCATATGACGCCTCATCCCATTCTTACTGTTGGTTACTGAGGGGCACAGAGTACAGGTGTACTTTACACCAGATATCTACAATGAGTACATGTATATATACACCAGATATATATAATATACAGAGTACATGTATACTATACACCAGATATATATAATATACAGAGTACATGTATACTATACACCAGATATATATAATATACAGAGTACATGTATACTATACACTATACACCAGATATATATAATATACAGAGTAAATGCGTACTATACACCAGATATCTACAATATACAGAGTACATGTGTACGTGTACTTTACACCAGATATATACAGTATACAGAGTACATGTATACTATACACCAGATATCTAAAATATACAGAGTACATGTATACTATACACCAGATATATATATAATATACAGAGTACAGGTGTACTGTATACCAGATATCTACAATATACAGAGTACATGTATACTATACACCAGATATATATAATATACAGAGTACATGTGTACTTTACACCAGATATATATAATATACAGAGTACATGTGTGCTTTACACCAGATATCTATAATATACAGAGTACATGTATATATACACCAGATATATATATATAATATACAGAGTACATGTATACTTTACACCAGATATCTATAATATACAGAGTACATGTATACTTTACACCAGATATATACAATATACAGAGTACATGTGCACTATACACCAGATATCTACAATATACAGAGTACATGTGTACTTTACACCAGATATCTACAATATACAGAGTAAAGGTGTACTTTACACCAGATATATACAGTATACAGAGAACATGTCTACTTTAAACCAGATATATATAATATACAAAGTACAAGTCTACTTTACACCAGATATTTATAATATACAGAGTACAGGTGTACTTTACACCAGATATCTACAATATACAGAGTACATGTATACTATACACCAGATGTCTACAATATACAGAGTACATGTGTACTATACACCAGATATCTACAATATACAGAGTACAGGTGTACTTTTCACCAGATATCTACAATATACAGAGTACATGTCTACTTTACACCAGATATATAATATACAGAGTACATGTATACTATACACCAGATATATATAATATACAGACTACAGAGTACATGTGTACTTTACACCAGATATATACAATATACAGAGTATATGTATACTTTACACCAAATATCTACAATATACAGAGTACATGTATACTATACACCAGATATATATAATATACAGAGTACATGTATACTTTACACCAGATATCTACAATATACAGAGTACATGTATACTTTACACCAGATATCTAAAATATACAGAGTACATGTATACTTTACACCAGATATATACAATATACAGATTACATGTGCACTATACACCAGATATCTACAATATACAGAGTACATCTATATACAATACACCAGATATCTACAATATACAGAGTACATGTGTACTTTACACCAGATATCTACAATATACAGAGTACATGTGTACTATACACCAGATATCTACAGTATACAGAGAACATGTATACTATACACCAGATATATAATATACAGAGTACATGTGTACTTTACACCAGATATCTACAATATACAGAGTACATGTATACTATACACCAGATATATAATATACAGAGTACATGTATACTATACACCAGATATATACAATATACAGAGTACAGGTGTACTATACACCAGATAAATATAATATACAGAGTAAATGTGTACTATACACCAGATATCTAAAATATACAGAGTACATGTATATTATACACCAGATATATATATAATATACAGAGTACATGTATACTATACACCAAATATATAATATACAGAGTACATGTATACTATACACCAGATATATATAATATACAGAGTACATGTATGTATAATATACACCAGATATAAATAATATACAGAGTACATGTATGTATACTATACACCAGATACATATAATATACAGAGTACATGTATACTATACACCAGATATATATAATATACAGAATACATGTGTACTATACACCAGATATATATAATATACAGAGTACATGTGTACTATACAACAGATAAATATAATATACAGAGTAAATGTGTTCTATACACCAGATATCTACAATATACAGAGTACATGTGCACTTAACATTAGATATATACAAAATACAGAGTAATGTGTACTGTATACCAGATATGAACAATAAACAATATATAGAGTACATTTGTACTGTATACCAGATATCTACAATATTGGTTTAATAGGTCTTGGATAACTTAGGAACTAGTTTTAATAAAATAACAACAAGCATATAGGAAACCACTGTTTACATTACAAACTTTGTATTCCTTGAACTCACAATATATGCATTATAAAATCCTCTTCCCCTTATTTTCTTTACAACATTACGTACACAAAGGAAAGCTTATATGTCGTCTTCATATTGCATACATCTTTTCAAAGACTGCTATTTGTAAAGACGAAGCATTAGAAATTTATCTGACTATTGTGTACGCCTGTACAGCTGTATTTGGTTATTTTGGTTGCTTAAGAGTCTAACGATCGACATTAAAACCTTAGTTATTTTACATAATTGTAAATGTTTTGAGCTAAAATTAATGATATTGATTCGTACTTAATAATTTATTTTATCATTTGTTGGATATGGTGAATTATAGCTGAATTTGTGATAAAGTTACGCATTTTTTTGTATCAAAAATAGCCATTAATTGTTAGTGAAAATTTTCAGATATCGTCAAATATTTTTTCTGAGGTTCTAGGAATGGGATTTTAGGCGATGAAGAAGAGAGGGGACCAGAAATTTAAAATATTATAAACGGTAAATAAATATTGTGTAAATGTCGTCTTCTGTTTAATCTTAGGCAAAGAAATAATATCGCATAAATTAATTTATTAATCTTACTCTTAAATTGATTTATGGGGATTTTGTTTCAAAATATCCACCACTTAAGAAAAAAATATCACAAAAAGTTTCGTTATAAATGCGAATTAAAGGACGACTTTTTACTTATAAGTCCTTCAAAGTTCAGTTGATTACACAAGATTTGAGGCATGAATTATTGGAGGATTTTAATAATGCAGACTAAATGAATACATTGGTGTAAATAAAACTGGGGAAAATAAAGACGACATTTAGAGTCAATTTTTGAGTGAATAGTTCAATGAACATAAAATACCGCAATTCATCAGTGCACATGCAGATTGTCTAAATTTCGTCTTCAAATTCCTGAGTTTTATGTATACAAATTCAATGAATAATTCTGATAATCTCAGGTTCGTCGGTGTGCACTGCCAAGCAAAGTAACATGTATGATACAGTGAAACCCTTAATAAAGAATACATAGAAAGAATTCATCAAATGTCGTATTCTTCACTTTCTGATAATGAAATGTTGCAGATATTTAGTTTTTAAATTAAATGATTATATGGAACTCTTTAAAACTGTTCCCGCATATTCATGGCTATTTATTTATTTTCGCAAATACTGAAATTTACGTAATATAGTATAAAACTCATTGAAAAATTGTAAAGACGACATTTGATAAATTCTTCCGATGTATTCGTTATTAAGGGTTTCACTGTACCCAACTGCCAAGTTAACCAAGAATAGGAGAGTCTGCGTTTACAATACCAGCAGATTCAAAAAGAAAAAATTTTGGATAATTGGATCATATGAATTCCTTACGCTGAATGATCCCAGAGTGTGTAAAAACTATTACATTGTTAAATATTTAAATAAATACTATGACGTCATATATTTCAATAATTCATTGAAATCAGGTAGAGAGAGAATTCAATCTTGAATGAAAAAGTAATGAAATAATTGATTACTGTTAAAAAGTGTAAGGTTACTTGCATAAAAGATACGTGACATTAATTTTCTTCTTATAAACACTTAATATACTTCAAACCAAAAGTAAATGTTCTAAAGGACTGATAGATGTAATTTCAAGTTACCAACCCATTAAAGGTCTTTTCAACAACGGTACCATTTAGCTGGGTAGCAATGAGAAAGATATAGTTGTTATTTCATCTTAAAAAGTGATGAATTCTGTGAATTTTGCTCATTGTTTTTGTTGCGTAAAATCCACTAGTCACTTTTTTGGACTAGGTACAAATTACAAAAATTCAAGATAGAAAAGCTAAAGTGGTTTTCTGGTTTTGTTTTAAATAACTCTTAAATCCATTACAAAAGACGACATCTTTGGCTGACCAACAATATGCGTAAATTTTTCTGATACGCTTTCTTTAATTAGCAATGTCTTTGCATTTTTTAGTCCCACTGTATATCTGCTAGGATTACCTCATGATGAGCTTTACTTCTGTGTGAGTTGAGACTGGACTTGAAGTAGAAGGATTGGGTGCAGAGATTGCAGGGGAACGGTTTATTCTTCTCTAGGTCACAATCCTTGTGCTCTTTCCTCATATGGGAGCTAAACCCCAGGATAGACGCTAGATAGATTTATGTATAGATAGATTGATAGATAGATGAATAGATAGAAGGATTGGGTGCAGAGATTGCAGATGAACCGTTTATTATTCTCTAGGTCACAATCCTTGCGCTCTTATCTCAAATGGGAGCTAAACCCCAGGACAGATTACAGATAGATGGAGAGATAGATAGAGATAGAGAAATAGAAAGATAGATAGGTAGAAAGATAGATCGATAAATATACAAATAGATAGATACAGATAGAGGTTAGATATGTAGTAAATGCTCTACTCCTAAAACTGCTTTCAGACCAGTATCAATCCAGGAACAACTCATCAGCTATCAATGTCAGCGCGGACGAAAGCTTGTAAACTATCAATGCCAAACATGGGCACGATCTCTTCAGCTATCAATGTCAACACAGACACAAGCTTGTAAACTATCAATGCCAAACATAGGCGCGATCTCTTCAGCTATCAATGTCAGCACAGACACAAGCTTGTAAACTATCAATGCCAAACATGGGCACGATCTCTTCAGCTATCAATGTCAATACAGACACAAGCTCATAACTATCAATGCTAAGCCAATGGGCACGATATCGTCAGCTATCAATATCAATCCAGGCACAAGCTCATAAACTATCAATGTCAAACCGCACACAATGTCGTCAACTCGTTCGTTAAACAAGGAACAAATTACTCTCTCACCATAATCAAAACAGAGTCTATTCCAACTGACGTGTGTTTAGAAATCTATGTTACCGGTTAAGTTGATATACGTATTTACAAGATTTGCGCAGATATATATAATTGTAGTTAAGCTGATCACAATACATAGCTAGTCTAATCGCATTACAAGTTTTGGGATAAGCCCATTTAGATTTACAGACAATTTACAAATTAATTTATCTAGGTATGTTCAAATGTATAACTATGGGATTTGAAACTGTAGTTATTACAGATATATCGAATACCAATAGAGTCTTTGATAGATAGAAAGTTTACAGATAGATAGATAGATTTGACAGATAGTAAAAAAGAGATTGGATAGAGAGATATGGATAGATGGATAGATAAGTAGAGAGATAGATAGTTAGCTGGATAGAAAGAAATATGAATAAAACTATTTTTAAAAAGGACTGTAAGCGTAATTTTAAGATATTTATATATATTTGCATTTATAACTGATGAGTTTTATTTAATGTTTATCTACAAAAGTGACTTATGCACAGCTAGTCCGATTAAGAATGCAACGGTACTATTGTGACTCGGGCATGCCCTTTTTTTAGGTGGAGGGTCACATGAACCTACACGATAGTCTTTTAATAAAACAATGTACCCATCTAATACTTACTTAAAACAACACCGCAGATTTCACAACGTAGAAAAACCGGATTTTTCCCGACCAGGCCAATCACCCTCACTTCAGTTCCACCTTCCTCACCTTCCTTTAAAGGGAGTGTTCTCGAAAAATGAAAGGGGGTATAGGCTAACGGCCAAAAATACGTTCTTTTGATCGCTACTAATCTTACTTCTCTCTGTTGCATCTATCAGGAGAAAATTGTTAGAAACGACTCATATCGAAGAACGTAGCGTCCATAAAAATTCAGAAAGTTGCAATATTCAACTCGGATCGTAAAAAAATCAATTTTATTCCAAACAAATCATTCAGATATTACAACCAATCGTCATCGATTATTTTTCGACGCATTCGTAAATTGTTGATATTTTATAAGATAAGTAGTGATCAAAAGCACTTATTTTTCGCCATAAGCCTAGACCCCCCTTCACTTTTTGCGAACACTCCCTTTAAAGATTTTTTTTAATAAATAACAAACGATGGTTTTTGGACATTTTCTGATTAGCTGTTTTCTCCACAGACGACCCTCTTCACGGGATATTGATTAAATTAATCTGTAGATTAACAAGAGATCGAGATTAAGACTTAATTCATGAGTTCCCATATCAGGACACATTTTGTTTACAAACTTTAAATACCCGATTCACAACGGTACCCTTTAAACCTGTAGATGAGCAACAATGAGGAAAATATTGTCGTGTTTCACTCTGAAAAAGTGCTTTTATAAAGAAACTTCTATTTAAAGTTATCATTTTTGCTCACGCTAAGGTTTCGAGGGTACAGTAGTGAATCTGGCATGCAACTCTGGATTTAAGATTTCGTCGAAAGACACTTTAAAGTTAATCTGTGTTTTTACCTCATTCAGTTGATCTATCATCATTCGTTTATCAATTACCGGGCAGTAATCTTGTTCCTACATTAAACAATGCCAGGATTTAATAAATTTTGAGAAGTTGTTTAGCTACATAGGGATGGTTCAAAAACGTATCTTTTACTGCTGGTTCAACCTGAGAAGTAGTTTAATCGGCGGTAGATAGTTTAGCGACCTTTCTGTAATTCATTAAAATCGGTTCGACAAAAACAAAATACAATATAATAGAGAATGAATTGACCACAGAAGTATTGAATACGAATTGATAACTATAAGGAGAGAGTAACTAATGAACTGCCACTTGTGAATCACACAGATGTGCAAATGTTGTACAGGGATGAACTCTGACATATTTTTATAATATTAAAACATATGGAATCTCTGAATACCTGAAGAGCGTTGGAATCACTGTTAATAGAAACTTCAACGTTGTTAATACTAAAATGTTCTTCGTCGATCTCCAGTTCAGATTCTCCAGGATCATTAGGACCATCATGGCAATCATTAGTGCCGTCAGGGTCGTCATTAGGACCTTCCTGGTCATCATCAGGGTTGTCAATGTCGTAATTGCCCGGTATATGAACCTAAATGATACAATTGAATTTGACATGTCTGATAAAAACATATCTTTCAAGAAAGACTTTTTAATGCATTTTTATTTACCGATATAGTAGCTGGTGGTTCTACGTTGATGTTATCTAAATCCAATATTTCAGTAGAATGTGTATCCTACCGAAAGATTAATTTATTTCAAAACAAGTAATAATATTTTTACCCTTAAAGGGACTGTATGCATAATTTCAAGTGACCCTATATGCAAAGACTGCAATGCAGGATTTACAATGGTACCATTTGTGGTTTCTCTGCTAAGCGACTTGTGCATTTATTGCTCACAAGAAACATTGGAGAAATTAGCATTAAAACGAAATATCTCCCAAGGGTACCGATGTACATTGGACATTGACATGCCATCCTAGCTAAGAGGAGGATCACTGGAAATTACGCTTACAGCCCCTTTAAGATCAAGGTTTTCTCGTCATATTTAGAAAGAATAACATTTTAATCTTTTCCTTTGAAGCTCTGGATGTTACTTTTTTCCGCCTTTTTCCGGCACTTGTTTCCTCTTTCTTCCTTTTTGTCGGCCCAGCTCTTAATTCTGATTGGTTAGAATTATCAGAATTTTTAACCGTTTCGCTCTCTGATTGGCTAGAGTTTTCAAAAGCCTTGCATTCTGATTGGTCAGATCTGTCAGGACTTTTCTTAACTCTGCATTCTGATTGGTGCATGCTTTCTGGGCTCTTTGACTTTGGCCCAGTCACTATCTTAAGATCTGAGGATTTTCTTTTATTTGCCTTGCGCAATTTTTCTTCTTCAATTAAACAATCAATATCAATAATTTCATCACCAGCTTGAGCCAAGAGATGACCTTCATGCCGGGAAGCAGGTGGAGTTGGATTGGTTGAAACTCCTAGACTGATATGCTCAGCTATAAGGTGAACCTAAAAATACATCAAAATATATCAAACTTTCTTTTGGTGCAATGTTCATGACCGAGTATCATAATTCTTTTATTTAACGAAAATTGCTGGGGTCATTCCTGGCCCCATGGCAATCCCACCCCCTCAGCACTTCCCTTACAATACGCCTGGGGTCGCTTGTTTAAAATTTGATAAAATCTGATCCCATTTATCTCATTATCAATAACGAAGAGTCTACTCTTAGTCCAGTGTCATGTATATTTGTATTGGTTAGATATCCTGCTAGGTGGACAAATTTGACAAAATGACGGGTTCAACTTCTGATAAATACAGGCTTAATCTAGGAATCATAGACTTAGCCGTAGATTTAATACAAAAATACCCAACCCTCAAGAAAATAAATAATAAAGGGACTGTGAGCGGTATTTTCAGTGATCTTCCATGCAAAAGATAGCATGCCCGATTCACAACGGCACCCTTGAAACCTTAATCTGATCAAAAATATGTCTTTTTTTCTCACTCGAAAAGTGTTTGTTTGTGAGACTTTCTCAATTGTTTATTATAAGCAAGAAATGCGCAAGTCACTTTTGCATAGAAACTTAAAATTACGCGTACAGTCCTTTTAAACTAGATTCCTACCTGAACCAGATCAGAGGATATGAACTGCTTCCCACAAATAATGCAAAGATGTCTGTCTGTTTCCGGATTAGGAAAACTGTTCTTCCGCTTTATCGGGTTGAAGTTCACTAGATAAATCAAGGAAAGTTGTGGATTAAAACTTAATTAATTTGAACTGCCACCCTATCGATTAAAATCCTTTCTTAATCTTTAACTTTGAATTGGTGGTTCAAATTTGAACCGGCAATAAGTAGTTCAGCGACTAAACTCAAATTCATTAAATTCGGTCCCTTGAAAAAAATTCCTTGCATAAACTGGAAGTTTTTGAGAATTACCAGAAAATTGTGTTAACGAACAGAAAGAACCGTAAATTACTAAATAATTAATGGACAATTTTATCATGTTTTTGTTAAACCCGCGAATACACTGAAATAGAAACAGCACTGAAAGTTAGTCATCAATTGTTTAGACAGCCTACACTTTAAAGTGTCGCAACGTCTTGTCTTTGGTTTTACCGACTCAATTATACTTTTTTGTAGCCCTAGGCATATACACTTTAAAAATGCAACGCACTTGTTTTTAGCTTAAGATTAAAAGGAGTAATAGGTAAAATACGGCATGATTTTTAGAGCGAGAGCGTGTACAATAATATGTTTATTTTTTTTTATTTAAGAACAAAAGACTGTCATTAGATAATTATGAGATCAGTGTCCGAATTTAATGAATTTGAGCCGCGTCTTAAATCCGCCAAAAACCGGTTTCAATTGAGCACCGGATTATATCTTGAAACAACGAATACGATTTTAAGTGGAACCATCCAAATTTGAGCCGTGGCTTAAATTTAAGCCGCGGCTCAAATTCTTTTAATTCGGCCTCTGGTGTAAGTACTGTTAATAAAAAGAAGTTTATCCAGCCTTACATGTAAATTGTAGATACGTAGACAAAACTTGAGAAAATTTGACATTTTTCAATGTAATTCAGATAAAAGGGAATGACGGTTATATTTAAGGTTGAAACGTTCTTACCTAGTGGATCATGGCAAATTTCATCCTCACTGAGTGCCATGTTCTTGTATGCAAACTGGTGGCCGTCGAAAATATATGCGTAGAGTCTCTCGGGAGTCTGGATCCTATGGAAGACCTAGAAACAGGAGTGGATATAATTCCATTTCTGATCCCAAATAGGACCAGGGGTTACTGTGTTTACGTGTTTACTTGTATCTACACTTCAGAAATGTGTACTGCATTTGGGGTGTTAAAAGATGTAAATATCAGTAATCAATACAAGAGACAAATTAGGATATACAGAAAAATAAATACTTCCTTGCAGTACTATACATTCTGGAATTTTGTCTACTACTTGCAATCATACTTGCATTCATACTTCCAATTGTTTACAACAACAACATGGTTAATTTTTGCCCCTAATATCACTCAATCAACATTTAGGATGGTATTGTATGGAATTATATGGAGCCCTGCCTTGAGATGATAGAGGATAGGGTTGAAGTCCTTGGAGCAATCAATCAATCTATCCTTAGTGCTCAGGTCACACAACTTACATTCAAACAGGCTCTTCGTCTGATTAAAAAATGATTAATAATTTAGCTTAACAATGAACAATTTTAAAATTCAAAATGAAAGTTTTTATATTTCGGTTTTATATATTTGTCAAGGCTTCCAGTCATGGACAGAATTTATGTAAATTTAGCAGATTTCACATTTGAATTAAAATGAATTCGTTCCGAACATTCCAAATTGAAGAATTGAAGTTGTGAATCCTTTTAACTTCGTTATCCCGTGGTGATCATGCCCTGCAGAGATATTACTTCAATTGAAAGATCAGCCAATTCTTCTCAAATAAAAAAGGTGCCCACCTTGGATATCGAGATTAAGGTCAACGATTCACCACACAAGAGTTCTGACCTCTGATCAAAAGCCTGCGTTTAATTTCTTAATAATACCTTATAATAAGTAGCAAGGTTAGAGTTGACTAGATTTAGGACCGGAGGGGAGCTGGTACTTGTCAGAAGATCACTAAATTATTTATCTTTTAGAGTTATCACAAATATTATACAAGGTGTCCCACAAGATCATTAGAGTATACATCTTTTATAATCACAAAAATGTGAAATTACTCGAGTAATCACAAGATCACTAGAGTAATAATCTATTTAGGAGTACTCACAAAAATGTGAAATTATACAGGGTGTCCCACAGTATCTTTTAGAGTAATCACAAAAATGTGAAATTATACAGGGTGTCCCATAAGATCACTAGAGTATTAATGTATAAGAGTAATCACAAAATGTAAAATTATACAGGATTTTCCACAAGATCACTAGAGTATACATCTTTTAGAGTAATCACAAAAATATGAAATACTACAGGATGTCCAACAAGATCACTGAAGTATAAATCTTTACAAGTAATCACAAAAATATGAAATAATACAGGGCAGCTAGATCACTAGAGCATTAATCTATAAGAGTAATCACAAAAATACAGGGTGTCCGGGCCGTCCCACGAGGTCACTTGAGTATAAATCTATTTAAGAGTAATCACAGAATCACAGTAAAAAGGCAATTTATTGAAATACAGTGAAAACCAGAAAACAATGAAATAGAAAGACGAAATTATACCAATACTTAAGCGTATTTGATGTTGTTACAAAGCAAAAAATGTTGCTCAAAACTTATCAAATCACTGCTGTCTCATGCTCATTGGCCTTTTAAAAGTTAAAATTTGAGTTTAAAGTCGTCTTCCTATTTCAGAGTTTTCCGATTCTCACTATACAACAATACTCTTCTAAAAGCCAAAAAAAAAAACCTGTTTTTAACAGCGTGTCTTCTTTTCAGGTGGTTTATATACAGATCTACACTCTTCAGACCAACATTACGACAAAAGTAACATGTCTAAAAATAAGAAACAATTTAAACATTTTTCTAAAGATTTGGGATTGAGACGATTTTACAATTAATGACAGGATTTTACAATTAATGAGACGATTTTACAATTAATGAGACAATTTTACAATTAATGAGACGATTTTACAATTAATGAGACGATTTTAAAATTAATCAGACGATTTTACAATTAATCAGACTATTTTACAATTAAGCAGACGATTTGACAATTAATGAGACGATTTTACAATCTAATTTTACAAATATGCTTGATGAAACGATAATCAGAAAAAAACCCTAGTCCTGCCATTTCCAACACGTGGTCTGCTTTTTGTGAGAATTTAAAAATGACAGATATATATCTGTAAAATCGCCTGATGTCAATTAATTCCGGGTCTTTCTGATTATGACTGTACAAATCTGCAGATGACTGAATATATCATATTTAATATTTAAAAGATGACTGAATATATCATATTTAATATTTAAAAGATGACTGAATATATCATATTTAATATTTTAGATTTGATTTTAAATTGATCCTCTGTATCAATTTAATAAAAAAGAAAAAATACCAGTTAAATATAAATATTATATTTTCCTAAAGTTTTTGTGAAAAGAATCGCACAAGTTGCAAATATACTGGATTGTATGTTTAAGGTTTGTGCTGGGTTCAGCAATATTTTTGCTAATAATATGTTCCGCCAGGTTTTCTATTTGAAACAGAAATGATTTAAATGTTTTACTGTTTAAAATTATATTTTATGTAATCAACATATTCTTTAAAAACCTTATGTTTACTAAAATAATCAAAGCTGAAAAGTTTAGAATGAGATATTCTTAATCACGACCGAGTATCCAATGTACACACTTTTTATTTTCTGCTTAATCCTCATTTTTGGATATCCCTACTGTATAAAAGATACGTTTGATAACAATTACAGATACAATGCTATATCGATTGGACTAATATTCGATTGAATTTAAATCAGCTGTTCACAAGCCGGCTTTTAGAGAGCATTTAAACAAACATAAATTTAATCATGTTAATATGAACTTATTAAGAAACATATTTTATTACATTTTAGGACCATTGTAATTTTAAACATTACTCCAAAACTTACGTTGGTTCAATCAATGTTTAGTTCAATTGATATGACACCATCAACACCAGAAATAAACCCAATTTTTTAAGTTAAAGAGTACATCTTAACATGACACGTTGATTGGTTGAATTTTATACTTCTTTCTTGGATATCAAATACGTATTAACGTAATCTCGGGTTTAGTAAAACCAGGAATTTAAGCATTAATCTTGATATCCATCATTCTAAAGTTTTTAGCTCTGTTAATGGAAAAATCATTTTAAGGATAAGACAAATTCCAAGACTTGTTTTAGTTTAATTGAACTCATTTTATGCTTTCCTAAGGTTACGATGTTTTTTCTTTTGTGACTTAATGGTAGACTTTGACTAGGGTTTGGATTGTGACTTTTTGAAGAAATATGACTTTTTGAAGGATTGTGACTTTTTGAAGGATTGTGACTTTTTGGAGAACTCGCTGGATGAGAAATTTTGTGAATAATTGCTGAGTGTTCAGGATATGTATCCGCTTCGATCCACACAGAGCAGTAGCCACAGATAACAACCTAATAGATATTTGTAAATTCTTTTAAGAAAAATATTATTTTTAATGTTTTCTTAAAAAATGTGTCAATAATATCAGCAAACATTTTGAATATTCTAATTGGCAATACACAGGATGAGACTGTTAAGAAGCATTGAAGTTCTGTAAATATGACGATATGAAGGTTAAATAAGTTTTCCGGCTTGAAATAGTCTTTTTGTGACCTTTCAATTGATTTTACAAAGAAAGAAACAAGTCTTAATTAAGGAAATATACAGTTCAAGCTTCGTAAAGTCGTCTCTGAAGTCTTATCATTTGTAGGTAACCTGTATTTCTCAGTTCTTTACAATGGATACTTTGTTTTTAGATTAAATAATTGTATTGAGACCAAATCTAATGAAAGTAGTAAGAAGTAGTTTAATTTGTCTCTATTCTTTTAACTGGTTCCATGCACCGTACTTTACATGCATAAACTGTGTACCTTGTGGGCCTGTTTAGCATGTAGAGCCAACTGAACTTAATTTTTTAACTGGTTCCATGCACCGTACTTTACATGCATAAACTGTGTACCTTGTGGGCCTGTTTAGCATGTAGAGCCAACTGAACTTCATTTTTAACTGGTTCCGTGTACTGTACTAAACATGAATAAGCTGTGTACCTTGTGAGCCTGTTTAGCATGTAGAGCCAACTGAACTTCATCTTTCAAGACCTCGGAGCAGTTGGAACACCTAGAAGTATTCCATGTTTTTATATCTATATTTAAATTTGGCTTGTCTGTCTGTTAGTTTGTCTGTTTGTTTGTTTGTATCCAATAAACGTCAAAACGGCTGAACCGATCGGGCCCAAATTTTTTGTGGGACCTCACGGAGCCCCAGGGAAGGTTTATGAATGATCAAAATTTCAAATATTTGTCTCCATCAAAATTCGATCTTCATTAAATTTTTGAAAATTTTGAAAATCCACGAAATTTTTTGTGAAAATCCGCGAACTATTTTCGTTTTGTTTTACGATGTACACAAAGAGAACATGTTCACAATTAATTTAGAAGATGGGCGCAGGCTAGTTTTTAATATATCCCTCAAAAAAGTTATTTTTTACCGATTCTGCGAAAAACCTCTTTTTACAATTAATCCTAATATACGCGAGAGAAAAGATTCTTTAAGAAAATATACTCCTTACATAAGTTAGGTCTTCCGTTAAATCAAAATAAACGGATCTTCCTGATCGCGAGAATTTTGCTGAATGCACAGGATTTTGTAGCGGTGGTTTCTGATGAGTTAGTTGTCTTGTTAAGTACCCTTCTATTTAGAGTGAAATGTAAGTTTCAATACGGTAACCATTAAACCTTCGTCTTAACAAAGATGAATGAGATTCTCTTGTTAAGATTATTTTGAATAGAGGGTTTTCTTTAAAAGTGAATTGCCGATTTATGCTGCAGAAACAACGAAGAAAATGATCAAAACTCAACACATCTTGTTATAGAAAAACGAAGATATCTTCAATCGTAACTAAAAAAAGGCTTCAAGGGTACCTTCGTCAAACTGGGTCACTTGAAATTACGTCTACAGTCCCTTTAATGACTATTTCGTTTATAATTTACATTCAGAAAAATGTACGGCCGCAGAATTTCTTTTAAAAAGTTTGGACTTAAGCATTAGGGAAGCTATGAAGTCTCAAATTTTCAATATGTCCGTCGTTTATTGCGTGCGTTGCGCATTTTACCGTAAAACAAAATGGCTGAAATCATCGTGAAGTACTTTCTCGTCTCTTGACTCAAATAATGTTTCGCAAGACCAGCAATATGCACTCTCATGGGCCAACAGCATGTGAACTAAATATATAACAACATGTGAACCAAATATGACACCATGTGAATTAAATATAACAACATCTGAACTAAATATAACAACGTGTGAACTAAATATAACATCATGTTAACTAAATATAACAACATGTGAACTAAATATAACAAAATGTGAACGGATAAAAACATCTTAACTAAACATAAAAAAATGTGAACTAAATATAACAAGTAAACAGAGAATTAGGTAAATTTAACGGCATTTGAACTTAAATCAACAATTACAACGTATAACATAAAAGCTAACAATGTGTAAAAAATGTTAAAAAGAAAATGTTAAAAAATGAATGCCAACTCACCAACAATCTCTTTCTCAGACACGTTGTAAACGTCTTGGCATTCTTCACAGCTATGCAGTCGATTTCTCATCTAAATACAGCAAATAGTCGCATCTCTCACAATAAATCAATCAATCAATATGTATAACGCAGTAATCTTTGTTTGTCTGATAATAACTGACCCCTTCACTGATTTGGCTCCAACTTTAATTGGGGAACTTAACATAATTTCGGAAATGTTCTTAGCCTGACTTGAAACATGTCGAGTAAGTGGACTTTTACAGAGAAAATGTTATTTGCGGGCAGCACTGGGTTCCCAATATCACTCGCTTAGTAAACACGGTTTGCCTGGAAACCAACCTTACATCTTAAAAGTCAACCCACTCAAATTATAAACTTTAAACTAAGAACATTCCCCTGGTTCCACTGAGTTCCCAATAAAAATTTGTGGCAAATCGGTTAAGGGGTTCCTGTCCTGAGTTATGATGAAACATACAAACAGATTATTTCTTTATATATATATATAAAACTCAAAAACCCAGCTCTGACTGAAAACTAAATTTTCGCTTTAAAAGTAAACCCATTCAACCCAAATTAAGAGCATTCCCGTAGTTCTACCAGTTCCCCAATCGAAATTTGAGGCAAATCGGTCAAGGGGTCTCCGAGTCATGGTCGAACATACAAACAAACAGACATTAATACTTTACATATAGAGAAGTTTCCAGTTATGACTCTAAAACAATTGACAAATTTGCCTTCAAAAAGATTTGAGATGTTTATGAAACTAATTTTGTTCTGTTTGGTGTAAAAAATTCGCGCATATTTGCAACTTCTTTAATGTTCAGACTGATTAAATAACTGTTATTTAAAAAAAAAGAAAAAAAACCTTTCCCTCCATCTTCAGAATAATTTACATTTTGTCTGAAAATTTAACATTTTTAAAATTTATATTATTATGTATAAATACACATCATTTTTATACTTCACATGAAACAGAAGCACCAAGAACATTTAGAAGAATATATAAGAATTTATAATTATTGAGCTGTATGCAGTGTAATACAATTTAATAACTGCAAGAGGAAATTTTTTCTAAAATAAATTCAGCGCAAAGAACTTTTGAATGGACACAATGAGTTAAACTTGCGTTTTTTCTAGTAATCGATCTCTTATTAATCAAATTTCAAAAGTTTTGATATCAGTTTATCTCTTTATGAAGAAAGAATAAGTTGAACTCCCTGTTCTGGAATATCTAGTACCAGAGTTTAGATCTGATATCCTGCTCTGATATAGCTAGTACCAGAGTTCTGATCTGACATCCTGTTCTGGTATATCTAGTACCAGAGTTCTGATTTAATATCCTGTTCTGGTATATCTAGTTCCAGAGTTCTGATCTGATATCATGTTCTGGTATAGCTAGTACCAGAGTTCTGATCTGATATCATGTTCTGGTATATTTAAATTTCTAAGATACATCTTCATATCTTGAACTTGTCCCGGAGGCCCGCAGAGATAGGCAATTATTCTAGATCCGGCATCCTCCGATATTCTACATAAAAGTTGAACTTAAAATGAAAAAAATGTTGCAGCATTAACCCCCCCCCCCCTCCTCTTTTAAGGTTGAAATACAAGCCAGTTCAAAACCAACATTTAATTTTTTTCTTTCAGATCATCTAAAGGGGTTTATTGGGAGCAGGAAAAATTCTAACAATTTCTTTTTTATACAATATTGAATATCGATGTTTTTATTCCTTCCCATTGCTTCATTAGAGTATTTCAATCAAGCGATACAGTATTTTCACTGTGTTTCAGAGCTAAATTTAAAAAATGAATCTAGTTGTTATCAGTAGTTATAAGTAAAAAAACACCGCCTAAGACTTCATGAAGTTTGAAGAAATCCTCCAAAAAAACATTTTTTCCTTCCGAGCTGCATGTGAGAAAAGGAATTTGAAGAACAGAAACTTTTTAATTCAATCTTCTTTCCTTTCCGCTAGAATATCCTGGTTAATCCGTCCTGTGTATCCTGGTCCTGGTCTTGTAACGAAATTATCTGTGTAAAAGTTTGAAAACTCTCTGGATACAGAATTTATCTCCGGTTGGAACAACAGCTCCTTGTCGGACACCGCAGAATACAGCAATCTAGATTAAGTTTTACCTACTTAAAGCTTCCATGTATTTAAATATGTATCTGTAATTGTAACAAATGTTTGTATGTCCTGAAATGGGTCCTTAATTTGCATTTTTAATATGTGGCCTTGAAGAGCGTTTTTACAGTATATCTCCAATGTTTGTCCTCAATGTACCTTTTAAGTATGCCTCCTAACTGTTTGTCCTTAATGTACCTTTTCAATATGCCTCCTAACTGTTTGTCCTCAATGTTTGTCCTTAATGTACCTTTTCAATATGCCTCCTAACTGTTTGTCCTCAATGTTTGTCCTTAATGTACCTTTTCAATATGCCTCCTAACTGTTTGTCCTCAATGCTTGTCCTTAATGTACCTTTTCAATATGCCTCCTAACTGTTTGTCTTGTCCTTAATGTACCTTTTCAATATGCCTCCTAACTGTTTGCCCTTGATGTTTGTCCTTGATGTGCCAACCCATTGTGCAACCTCATTGTGCCGCTGTGCGTGCTCAAATATATGTCCTCAATGTGCCTCCTCGTGGTGTGTACTCGATGTACAGGGTTGCTCACAAAGGATGAGACTGTAAAGACGACCCAAAACTATAAAAATATGGCGATTTAAAGCTTGACTTAAAGGTTTCTGGATTTAATTAAGCATTGTGATGGTTCACTTAATGATTAAGCACAGAAATAATTCATTTTTTGTCCCACAAGAAATCCTGAATGCAAGAAAATGGACTTAACATATTTCATACAATCGTCACTGAAGTCTCATAATTTGTAGGTAACCCTGTATATCCCCATTGTGCGTTTTCAATGAGCGTTCTAAATGTGCGTCCATAATGTGCCTTCTCATTGTGCGTCCTCAATATGCCTCTACATTCTTCATTGAGCGTTTTCAAAAAACGTACTCAATGAACGTTCTCAATGTGATGTGTCTATTCATGGTTAATCCTTGCCGTGCCTACTCATGGAGCCTCGTCACTGTGCCACTGCGCTTTCTCAAATGTATGTCCTCAATATGCCAATGCGTTTTCAACCATAATGTGCGTCCAAAAACAAAAAAAACTACACACAAACGGTGTGATTATCATTTATTATTCATTATTAATTTTTGATACTATTTAAATATAAAGGTGTATTTTTAGCTTCACGCTCAAACATTTAATATGATTCGGTGGAGTAAAATTCCTTGAACATCTGATGATAAAAAAATATAAATTATAATTTCTTTTCAATAAAATACATATTTATAAGAAGAATTTCTACCTTGTTTTAATAGGTTTAATTGAAGCATTTTCCGCGCATAAATCCCGGGCCTAGATTCAAACAATCAAAATAGTTTCGAGACAATTATTGTAGATCATTTTGTCGACGTATTTTCAGGAAACCATTTAAACGGCAACCTTTAAAACCTGAATAACAATGAGAAAAATATTGTTGTGTTAAAATTCACTAATTCCTTCATTGTAGTTGTTGCATAAATTAAAAGCAATTTTGAAAATGAACCGCAATTGAAAATAAATATTTTTTAGTTAAAAAAATAACGATATCTCATTCCTTCTTGATCAGAAAAGATTTAAAGGGTACAGTTGTGAAACGAACATTCAACTCTTTAAACTACGCCTACAATCCCTTTAAAATTTTACTTGCTAACTGACCGTTCTGTTCATTAACGGCATTTTCTGTTTTTTCTCAAAGTTTTCGTTCGTTAACGATCTCAATTTTATTAACGCCAAAAGAAAAATTAATGAAAATTGTTGTTATCTTACACAACCGTTCGTTCTTCTGATACAAATCGTATTTTTTTCAAGATTAACGGTTTTTGCCGTTCGTTAACAGAGCGTTGCCCAGCTCTAATTATAATTAATATTTAAAATTTGCCTGAAACCAGATGGAGAGAAGAGGATTGATTCCAACTCCTCCCGCAATGAGAAGAAGGGAGTGGGGGCCTGATATTAAGGGCATTAAAGGGATTGGTCACGTGTTTTCAATTGTACTCATAATAATCAATTATCACCGCTCACGATGATCCGTAGGGCCAATATCAACGAAACTTATCATTGTTTTTTTGCCTTGTAAATTTTTTCGGCGTGTTTCGTAAATATATTTTTAAGTAACATCTTATGCATTAAGCAAAAAAGTTCAAATCTAGAAATTAATTTCATAAAAAAATATGTTGAGAAGCACACAAAAAATATTCAGAAAAGCAGGGACATTTTTCTGCTCCTTGGTATCAGGATGAATCATGAAAAACCATTACAGATTTCAGAGAGCAAAATTAGTTTTTGGGGTACTTCATTTTTAAAAAGGGTTTAATTTTTAAAAGGGAGACACTCCCCCCTTCCTCCTGTAAACGCCCTTGCCTGATATGTCTGGTGTAGGATAATAGAAATCTCCTCCAAACCGTACAGAAACCTAGAGAAAGCTATTTATCCAAGATTTATAAAAAATTTGCCAACTCGTCAAATTAACCTCTTTTTTTTGTAGAATTAGTGGAACGCCTTTTGTCTGGGAGAGGGGGGGGGGTAAGTTTTAGACATTAACTGGCAAAAATTCCCTCATTTTTTATACTTATTTCCTAATAATCATTTCCATAAAATATATTTCCCTTCATTAATAAAAGAATAAACTAAAAATAAGCTTCCCTTGTCCCCCTGGCTAGCCTGGTTGTGTACCCAGGCTGCTGGGGGCCAGGTAGAAGATTTGACCGCTAGCTCCAGCTCTCCGGTCCTACCGGTCAACACATTTTAAAAAATTCATAAAACGATGATTCAAATTTTAATTCAATCTATTAAAAAGACTGTTTTAGGGATCTCAAGTAAGAACCAGAAAGCGGTGAATTTCTTCGTCGTTTATTTTTTTCAACTAGAAAACAAAGAACAAAGACAGAAATTGTTATATATTATTATCTAATGATTAGGAAACCTTGATTGACCTTCCTAGAAAACGAGGTAGGACTATTCCACATTGAAAACCCGCCAACCTGAATATAAAATTCAAAAATATTAAAGGGACTCGAAGCGTTATTTCAAGTGACCCTCCGTGCAAAGATAGCAATGCCCGATTTACATTGGTAGCCTTGAAACATTAATCTGATCAGAAATATAAAGGACAATGTCGTTTTTTTTTACTCGAAAAGTGTTAAATTTTGTGAATACATTCTTTCTTAAAAGCAAGAAATGCAAAAGTAACTTTTACTAAGAATGAAAAAAATCTCAGACAAAGCTTTTCAGAAACCATTGTAAATCGGGCACTGCCATCTTTGCAGTGAGGGTCACATGAAATTCCACTTACAGTGCCCTTTAGTAAGGTAAATAAAATAATTTAAGGCATATTCAATAAAAATAGCAAATGATATATAAAGGGGAGTATAATTCCCCCTTGAAATTACATTTTCTCAGAATATATTTTATTGTGTTTATTGTGTTTTTCTCAGAATATATGATGTGTTTTTATTGGATAAAATTAATTACTTTAAAGAAAAAACAAAATCCCCGGGGGGGGGGGATCTTGCAAATATGACTCCTAGATAAATCTTGATACACTATACTACTTCTACCTGTTCTACTCCGGGTATAAAGAAATCCACCCATTGTCCGGCCCTGAAATAATAATAATCATTAGAAGTTAATTGCATATATATGTTTTCAATTAAAGATTTATGGCAATAAAAATAAATAAACCAATAATTTTTCTAACAAATGTATTTTATCGTCTTTTCGAATACAATTTTTGAATTTCTTTTTCAAGTTTAAATTAATTATATTATTCAAGTTTCCAAAGCGAAATTATTTTTACCTGAAAGAAGAAGTATTTTTTTCTTTATCTACCGTTAATGTAAGTGTCCGAACGGTTGGAGATATATCCTTGATTTTGGACACCCTTGCCAACAAAATATCATTGGATCTAAAGTTATCCATCGTGTGTTCAATATGTATCTTCTTATCCATCTTCCCCACGCTAGAATGCAGTAGTCGAACCGGTTGAAAACCCGCCATAAGTTTGGAGCAAAATCCGCGAAACTGCATATTTTTGAGTACTTTCCTACTTTTACTTTAAGTCATATTTCTCTGAAAAAATTGAATTCAGGTGTTGAGTATTGTTAAAAAAATATTAAGTTAGGTGGGCTCAACGATTCAATTTTTTTTTCAGAAATCAGAATTGTATTTTATTAACGTGTACTAAGTGTATAAAAACAAGCTCGTGGAAAATATGTTAACAAAATTAATATCTATCTAATAGTGTCTACAGTTACTACATAACAACTATAACAGGTTCTTATAAGACTTGATAATGCACTTGAAGCACAGAAACTGCAATATTAATGGCACTGGTCAACTTTATTACTTTCTTTGCATAGATTTGATTCCTTTCAAGTAAAGATATATATCGTTTTATTCTGTTAGTTTCTGAATCTTTTTGACTTATTGATGGCTAAAAAAAGAATTTTAGAGTTTTATAATTCAAAATTGGAAAGTCTTATAGTTTATCTTAACGAGGGGGGTTGGGGAAGACGATCCACGCCCGTTTTAACTCCGACCCACAGATGACGTCACAAAATGGGATTTGCGGCATGCTCTTACCCCTATGCCATCCGACCCTCACCCATTTTAAATAAATCTGTAAGGCATCTATTTCATAAGTAAAACCATTGAACCACTTGTTTACTCCGATTGCGGTTTTTATACTTCCCATTTTTTGTGCAAAAAAATCATTTGAATTCTAAAAAAAACTTTGTTTCAAATATTCTATTTGATGATGGATCAANAGTACGTACGGGCATAATATGATGGATTCATGGTTGTTGGTGATATGAGAACTGATGGAGGGTGTGGTGGTGTTGGTGAAGGGGGTGGACGGGGTGGTTATAAGGATGTAAAAGATCAAATCACACTGGTCTATGAATACTGGATGATGGTTCAGGAACCGTTATAACTCATCCTTGAACTCCTCATCATCAATCTCTTCTATATCATCTGCCTCTTCTTTCTCTTCACCCAGTCCAAGCTGGACTTCTGAAAGAAAAATTGATTTCCAGAATGATCAGATTATTCAATGATGCTTTTATTTTAATAAAATTTAACAATAAAATTAGCAATTTATCATTCATTAATCATCATAGAAACAAAAAAATTAACATGTATCAATCTGCAATTTTGTTTTCAAAGTGGAAAAAATCAGATATTTTCAGGGGGGAAAGAAATAAAAAAAAAGTAAATTGAAAAAGTGTAAAAGGGGAAGAAGAAAAAAGTGTTATCCAAAAAACCCAGAAAAAAAGGAAAATTTTTTAATTAATTTTTAATTTTCTTCCCAAAACTAGGAAAATCAGGGAAAAAAATTTAATTTTATTTGAAAATTTCTCCCCCTATAGTTTCTTAAAATCAAAAGAGGAAAGTATTCAATTTAGATTGAATTCTCTTCTCCATAGGTTTCCTGTAAAACCAGAATAGGGAAGGTGATTCAGCATAAATTGAAGTGTCCGGATGAATTAACTTGAAGTGTCCGGAAAAATCAAAAAAGTTTAAATTAAAGTTTCTCAAGATAAATTCTCTTCCCCGGAAGGTTCCCAAGAAAATCAATAAAGGAAAAAAAATAAAAGAAATTTGGATTAAAATATACATTTTCTTTAAATAAATTTTCCTGTAAAGGGAAGTTTTACTCTTTTGTTACTTAAAACACTACTAAATTTGGTTTTATTCACAAAAAAAACAAATAATATTCACTCAATTAAATAGATTTAAATAAGATTATTTAAATCTATTACCCATTTCGCGAACACTCCCTTTAAGAATACTAACCTGCTGATGATATTCTTGTGTTTGTATCTCGTATTCTCTGTGGTACCCTAGCTAGGTAGTTTGTGTACGGGGATCCCAGATAAACCCATCTATACAGTGTACACTAGATATTTGTTACTACTGGGGTAGTTTGTGTACACTTGATATATATTACTAGTGGGGTAGTTTGTGACTTGATATATATTACTAATAAGGTAGTTTGCGTACACTTGATATTTGTTACTAGTGGGGTAGTTTGGTTACTCTTGATATATGTGACTAGTGGGGTAGTTTGGTACACTTGATATATGTTACTAGTGGGGTAGTTTGGTTACTCTTGATATATGTTACTAGTGGGGTAGTTTGGTTACTCTCGATATATGTTACTAGTGGGGCAGTTTGGGTACACTAAATATATATTACTAGTGGGGTAGTTTGGTACACTTGATATATGTTACTAGTGGGGTAGTTTGGGTACACTAAATATATATTACTAGTAGGGTAGTTTGTGTACACTTGATATATGTTACTAATGGGGTAGTTTGTGTACGGCTATCCCAAGTAAACCCATCTATACAGTGCACACTTGATATATCTTTCTAGTGGGGTAGTTTGGGCAGACTTGATATAGGTTTCTAGAGCATTCCCGTAGTTCTACCAGTTCNCACTTGATATATGTTACTAATGGGGTAGTTTGTGTACGGCTATCCCAAGTAAACCCATCTATACAGTGCACACTTGATATATCTTTCTAGTGGGGTAGTTTGGGCAGACTTGATATAGGTTTCTAGCAAGGTAGTTTGTGTACACTTGATATATGTTACTAGCAAGGTAGTTTGTGTACGGGTATCCCAGGTAAACCCATCTATACAGTGCACACTTGATGTATGTTTCTAGTGGGGTAGTTTGTGTACACTTGATATGTTTTACTAGTGGGGTAGTTTTTGTACGCTTTATATATGTTATTATTGGGGTTGTTTGTGTATGCGTATCCCAGGTATACCCATCTATACAGTGCACACTTGATATATGTTACCAATTACGCATACAGTCCCTTTAAACATTACAATGTTGGCTTTACATATAAACAGTACCTTTAAACACTTAAATGTTGTCTTAACATACAGTCCCTTTAAACATTACCTATCTAACACAACAGCTTCTGATATAAATCTGACTGCACCATTGGTAGAGTGGAGGGAGGATATAATATCACCAGTTTTACCATCAACCTTTAGTTACAAAATTTATGTATATTTGTCATTTGGTAAACATCTTTATAACGGGGGAATATTTTTTTTAATAATTAACATCCCCCTGGGGCCGGGGGGGGGGCGAATGATTTTTTTAGTCTGGGGAATGAATTTGAAAAATTGATAATTTTAACCCAAAATTTAATTTTTTCAACATAATTCAGCGGATGAAAACCTACCCGCTTTAATTATTATTTAAACACGCCAGAGAAAGTAATTTTTATTTGAGCTTTGAGTTTTATAACGGTTTCTTGCATATTATTCTAAAAACTTGATTAACAAGAATTAAAGGGACTGTCGGAAGTAATTCATCGAAAGAGTTGCATGCACGACTTCTACCGAAACCCTCATGAACGACTCAAACCGGAACCCTCATGCACGACTCAAACCGGAACCCTCATGCACGACTCAAACCGGAACCATCATGCACGACTCAAACCGGAACCCTCATGCACGACTCAAACCGAATCCCTCATGCACGACTCAAAACGGAACCCTCATACAAGACTCAAAACGGAACCCTAATGCACGACTCAAACGCAACCCTCATGCACAACTCAAAACAGAACCCTCATGCACGACTCAAAATGTAACCCTCATGCACAACTCAAAATGGAATCATCATGCACGACTCAAACCAAAACCCTCATGCATGACTCAAAACGGAACCCTCATGTAAGACTCAAAACAGAACCCTCATGCATGACTCAAAACGGAACCCTCATGCACGACTCAAGAAACCTCATGCATGACTCAAGAACCCTCATGCACGACTCAAGAACACTCATGCACGACTAAAGAACCCTCATGCACGACTCAAGAACACTTATGCACAACTCAAAACGGAACCCTCATGCACGACTCAAGAACCCTCATGTCCAAGTCAAAACGGAACCCTTTTATTTTTTGATTAAGTAAAAATTATGAGTTATTCTTATTTTCATATCTAAAAAGTGACTTTTCTCAATTGAGGGTCACTTGTAATTAGGTGGCCAGTTCCCTTTAAGAGGCTTTTCCTACCTCTACTACCAAACCATATGGTCTGGTAAGATGAGCAAACGGTTCAAGATTGCCACACCAATATTCAAATTGAAGACTAGCACTTGTTGGAAACACCTAAAATAAAATGAATAATGAAAGTGGAAAAATTTATAATAACCGGTTATCATATTTATTGGGACACCCTGTTTCCAGTTGATTTTAATCAAAAGAGCCTTTTTCATAATCTAAATAACAGCATTAATAGTCACCATATTATATGATTAGTAAATAAGTATCCAAACTATTTGAAGAATTAATCATATCATCAATAGTTATAATATTTCTAAATATTTAATTAATAAACATTCAAATTATGACAACGATAATTACATATTAATTTTGAATAAATAATGATTTTTATTTCAGGGGAAAAAGTTCAAAACCGTGATTTGGCCCAAACAAACACTCAGCGTCAGGTTTGGAACAGAAGCACGGTTTGCAACTAGCGTCCCCTGTATAATGATTACCAGGTTTAATAGTTTCGATGGAATAAGAACCATACACACGAGCCTAAACAGACAAAAAACATAATTGTTCTGATGAAATGGGTAAAATTATGTTGCAATAAATATGTATCTCTTCATTACAAGGATGCAATAAATATATTATACATATAGGAAGGAATTTATTTTCTATTTAATAAATTTCTGAGTAAAAATTATCAAAAAGAATGAAAAAAGTTAACTTTTGATGTCAAATTTTTATTTTTTCCCCACAAATCATCACAACCCCCCCCCCCTCTGTAGTTCTGAAAAATATACAGTATTCACCTCTGAGAGAAACCCAAACCGATTAATTATTCTCTGGCATTGGAAAAATAAAAATTGAACCCAATTAACGTATTCATAAAAACTAGTTTCTGGTCTTTTGTCGATTTTTTCGTGGATTTCGAAAAATCAAAATATTTTTTTGCAATTTTTTAAATTCATAAACGTTCCCGGATACAAGCAGACAGACAAGCAAAGTATAAATAATGCAGGGCGAACTTCTATTTTAACTTTAAAAGTTGTTTAATCTTTCAGAATTTTCTGTTCGATTAAACAAAAACAAACCTTTGGGAGGATTTACAATTTTTATTCGCAGATTTTCAAAATTTTAAGAAAATTTAATTTTTTTGGAGAATATTTTTTGAAATTCTGAGCATTCCTTGGGGGTCAGTGAGGTACCACGCAAAGTTTACGGACACAAACAGACAGACAAACTTATATATATATATATATAAGTCCCCTGTCCTCTGTCTACGCCCCTGATAAGATAAGGGGAAAGAATTGAGCATTTTCCCTGTTCCTCATTGATTGAAAGAATACAGGTGCAAAGTTATTATCCGTTACCTATATTATTACAAAAGTTATTATAAATTACTGGTCCTTTCAAGTTAAAATAAAAGTTAACAATGTAATTCTGGGAATGCATTCAAATATGTATATATATATATATATATATATGAACATGATTCTCTTCCATTACTTAATACTTTCCAGATAATAACAGTTTTTAGTTTTTTTTTTACCTTGAAATAAATTTTCTAAGAATATTATGGGGAGCAACTAACTCCAGAATATGCCAGGTTCCCGGTAGCCTGAACAATGTATATTTTTTATTTTTTTTCATTTTTGTTATTTTTTTAAAAATTTCTTTCTAGTTAAAAACAAATTATATAAAATGTTGAGATTAGAGAGACTTTTGTCTTAATTTCAAGTGATCCAGGATCCTCCGTTTAAAGAAAGGTATCGACTTTTACATATATTTTTATCTGATCAATAATGTGAAATAATTTATATAGTCATTTATCTAACTTGAAAAAGGGATATTTTCTCCTTATTTTCGCACTCGTTTCACTAACCAGAAATCCGAAAATATTTTTAAATTTAAATAAAATTAAAAATAACCATATTAAAGGGACTGTAAAGAACAATCAAAGTCAATGGCAGTGGCAGTGCAGTATACTGGACACGTGATTTCCATCTGTATCACGTGCCAACGATACTGCAATACCATTGGCTGAAGTTCTGGTGACGTAATACGGACTATATGGACATTAATATATAATAATATTTTGAATTATATCTATTAAAAATGCAAAATAAAATTTAAAAAATATAATAGGAGAAAGCCTGAGATTCTTAGGCTCCTGTGGGATATCGTCGTTTTCAGATCAGTTGCGTATTGGTTGAATATGATCTGTTTAATACTACAACTTTTATACAAAATTGCATATATATGAATTTTCGTATAAAGACACAGTTTTATATCAATTTCTCGAGACAGGAACTTCAGATAGACGTTTTATATGAATTGTTTAACGCCTGAGATTCTCAAGTGTCATCCTATACCCACTTTCATTTTTCCTTTACAGTCCCTTTATAAAGGGTAGGCATAGATATTGGATATATCATGCATTCTTTATCAAACAAGGCTTTTAAGGGTCGTCAATCAAACATGAATCTATAAACTACTCTGAAGTCCCTTTAAGTTCAGTTCGGGAGTTTTTAGTCCGGTTCATAAATATTTAATTACTAATTTTTTTAAGTAGAATTTCTGAAATGATGTAAAAATGATATTATCAAATTTTAGCTTTTCCTACCTTGGTCCTATGAGTCCAACATAGTAATTACCGCGATCATTTAACTGAAAATATATAAATAATGGTTTCGAATGGTTTACTAAAATAGGACAGTAGGAGAATACATCTACACTTGCAGTATATTAATCAAATATCTGCATGCTTTTGACAGTGTTCCTGGCCTACACATAAGTAAAGGATTAGTGTACATTAGTACACTGTGATCTTCTTGATTCCCTCTCTTGGACTTAGCTTTCTCTGTGACTTTGGCTTATTTCTAGAAGCACTGCGTCCTTGAGTTTCAACACTGTGATCTTCTTGATTCCCTCTCTTGGATGTAGTTTTCTCTGCGGCTTTGGCTTATTTCTTGGAGCACTGTGTCCTTGAGTTTCAGACACTTAGCTGTTTAATAATACCTTCGGCCCGATCCTTTCTTGTCTTCTCTAATTTCTTTAAGTTGACAAAGATGGATAGTTCTGCCAGTTTTGATTATTAAAAACTGTATTTTTTGTAATCCTTTTGATCTTTGCTTTATTTTATGAGATGCTCTATAAATCTTAACAATTTTACTACTAAGCAATGTAGTGCAGAGGTACCTTTATATTGTCAGGTAGTCCAGGCAGAGAGTTTACCAGTACTTTTACCTCTCCTGACCTCTCACCTTAATTTTAACAAATCATGATTGGCTCTTCATTAACCCGCATTCTTAGTAGAAGGGGAGTCTGGGCATTGACAAGGTACATTTTATTTGATCTTTAATTATTATTATTATTATATTTAAAGGCATATCTATTTAGTATATAAATCAGGTTTGTCCGATCATAACTCAGGAACCTCTAATCCGATTTCCCTAAAATTTTGATTGGGGAACTTGGAAGAGCCACAAGAATGTTCTTAGCTTGGTTTTGAACTTCAAGTTGAGTGGGTCGACTTTTAGAGCGAAAATTTAGTTTCCAGGTAAAATCGACCAATTGCGGTTAAACGGCGGGAGTAACTATGAGTAGTACCCTGGGCAACGCTGGGTTCCCAAGCTAATATACATATATAGAGATCATATCTTCCAACTAAGAAAAGAGGTTAAAAGTGATTTTGAAAAAACGAATTTGCAACTAATTCCCAAAATTCCATTTTCCCAACTTGTTAACAGTAATTATGTCCCTTAAGTTAAGATATGTTTCAGGCAATGGCCTGTGACTGGAATATACTATGGACAGATAGCTCTGTGTCCGGGGTAGAGCGCTGCTGCTTTGGCATTTTTTTAAATGAACTGTAATTGCAATTTCAAGTGACATTCCATTCCAACTTCTCGTTCACAAGCATTCTCTTTAAGACTTTGTTCCTTCATATTGTTGCTAAACAATAAATGCACAAGTCACTTTATAGAGAATCCACCAGTGCTAATGATCCGTTGGATCCGCAAGATTTTGGCTGCCTGGATCCGGATCCGCAAAAATGTGCGGATCCATGGATCCGGATCCGAGAGGCAAAATATAAACCAAAAACGGCAAAATTTTCTAATTGGTACATTAAGTTTTAGCTTAAAAATAAGCAAAAAACTATAAGACAAAAATTTGAAGATTCTGCGTGGTTAAAAATTCAGTAATTTTTTAAAGAAATAACCTGGATCCGGATCCATTTTTTTCCAGTGCAGATCAAGATCCGCATAAAAATTAAATGGATCCTAAGCACTGGAATCCGCAGTAAAAAATAACCAACTTTCATGAAGAAGATGATCTCATCCATTTTTTATCGTACTAAGCTTTTAAGGGTACCGGCGTGAATCAAGTCATGCTACTTGATATTATTTTATCAGTCACTATCATTGGCTCTTGCTAAATTGTATACATTGTAAAGGAGTCCTTGATATACCTGTCAAGTAATATTTATGTATTCTGGCTCTTCCAGTTTCTGTAAACAGTATATAATCTTCCTCAGGGCTTAGTTCCAGACCATTAGCAAAGTTAATCTCTTCTACTAGCACCTAGACAGTACACAGTACAATATCATTAGCAAAGTTAATCTCCTCTACTAGCATCTACACAGTACAAGACCATTAACAAAGTTAATCTCCTCTATTAGCATCTACACAGTACAAGACCATTAAAAAGGTTAATCTCCTCTTCTAGCAACTACACTTAATCAATACCCTTGAATTTTCTGAATATATATATATTTTCAAAATTACCCCCTTTCTTTCCCCCCCCCTGGATTGGTGATATGATTTTGGATGATCTGGTGAGAAAAAATGAAAAATTGGACCATCTCCTCAACTTTTAATCATTCTTTTTGATACTTTTTACCCAAACATTTTTTGATTTTCCTCTAAAAATCATTTATTTTCCCCAATTCAGGAAAAAAAAAATTTTCAAAAGGGGGAGGGAGAGAAAAATGCCCCCCTGCCTGATAATCCTGAATATCCTGTTACCTGGGTTTCTCGTGTCTCTAAGTCGAACTTGAGAATACGACCGGAGGAATCAGACAACAGCTCAAACATACTATCCCTGCATTTAGTAATGTGCATTTAGTTGCTTCGCTTTTGGGTCCCTTTTTTCTAAATTTTTCCTTTTAGGGTCAAAATTTGGTATAAATTAGGAAGAGAACATTTTCTTAAAATTGTTTTATTTTAATTATTGCTCTTTATGTCAAACAACGACCCAAAAACGACCCTAAAACGTCCTTAAAACGACCCTAAAACAATGCCAAAAAAACGGTTATATAACGATCGTTTTTTTATATCATTTTTCCATTTTTTCTTTTGGGATAAAGATATTGCAAAGTTTAACAAACGTACAAACTTTAGCAAAATAGATTAGAAATATTGTAAGTTCTATTTTTATACTGTTAAGAATTAAAATTTTAGAAACGAAATTCATCTCCTTCTTTGATGGCATGTTCGGATTTAAATCTCAATAATATGGTCCCTTCCCAATGCCAAAAATAATCAGTTATATAACGATTTTTTTTATTGGGAAAGATATTGAAAAGTTTAACGAAAGCCCAAACTTTAGCATAAAACATTAGAAATATTTTGAAGAAAATCATCTCCTTCTTTGATGGCATGTTCGGATTTAAATCTTATCCCAACAATATCCCTTCCCTCTTAGGTGGAAATAAGAGAAAATCTGCTCCTCTTGTTGCTTATTGACAATTGTGCATGCCACTGTTGCTTGAAATTTCGTCATCAGTCCCATTAAATTGCTTCTCTTTTATAATCATGGTTGATTTACCTAAGTGGAAATCTGGTGCTGGAGACTGAAATATAAACGCTTCTACCATCTTTTCCTTAACACAATCAATCAATCAATCAATCAATCAATCAAACATTCAATCATTCAATCAATCAACCAACCAATCAATCAATTAAACTATCAATAAATTAAACTATCAATCAATTAATCAATCAATCAGCCGATAAGCCAATCCTTTATTAATTTTTATGTATGATGACGTAATAATACGATATAATACTAGGTGGTACAGTGTCCCATATCATATCGGATTATCACCAAGTTTAAAGCCAAAATACAAAAAAAAATAGTATTTAATGCATGCAAATTCTTTTATTTAGCAATTTTTTAAAATGAAATGATTCAATCTTTTCATATTTCTTGATTTGTCCATAAAATCGCAATTAAGAGCAACAAACGATCTAATATAATCTGGGACACCCTGTATATAAAAGATTTTAATCGCTGGATCCAAAATTTTAGGAACTTTCATTAATAGAGGAACTTTCATTTATATTATGTTACCTATTTTGAAAGAAAGGGGTGTTAATTTCGATGAATATGAATATGTGAGTTCCTACCTACAGCAACTGAATTGAACAGAAGATTTCTAGATCCGTTGACAACAGTTTCAGGGCTTATCAACTGCTCATAAGAGACCTACAACAGTTTTTCAGGGCTTATCAACTGCTCATAAGAGACCTACAACAGTTTCAGGGCTTATCAACTGCTCATAAGAGATCTACAACAGTTTCAGGGCTTATCAGCTGCTCATAGGAGATCTACAACAGTTTTTCAGGGCTTATCAACTGCTCATAAGAGATCTACAACAGTTTCAGGGCTTATCAGCTGCTCATAGGAGATCTACAACAGTTTTTCAGGGCTTATCAACTGCTCATAAGAGATCTACAACAGTTTCAGGGCTTATCAGCTGCTCATAGGAGATCTACAACAGTTTTTCAGGGCTTATCAACTGCTCATAAGAGATCTACAACAGTTTCAGGGCTTATCAGCTGCTCATAGGAGATCTACAACAGTTTTAGGGCTTATCAACTGCTCATAGGAGACCTACATCAGTTTCAGGGCTTATCAGCTGCTCATAGGAGATCTACAACAGTTTTAGGGCTTATCAACTGCTCATAGGAGACCTACATCAGTTTCAGGGCTTATCAGCTGCTCATAGGAGATCTACAACAGTTTTAGGGCTTATCAACTGCTCATAGGAGACCTACATCAGTTTCAGGGCTTATCAGCTGCTCATAGGAGATCTACAACAGTTTTAGGGCTTATCAACTGCTCATAGGAGACCTACATCAGTTTCAGGGCTTATCAGCTGCTCATAGGACACCTACAACAGTTTCAGGGCTTATCAACTGCTCAAAAGAGACCTACATTGGAAGTTATTTGAACAAACTTCTAAACGATAAATTAAAGAGAATGTAATAAACTGAAAATAATATTTGTATGCGTGAGCTTGTGCCCACACCCCTTAATTAAAATAAACTATTAAAGTTAAAAAAGAGAATATTATTGTTGTGAATTCAAGTGACTAAAAACTTTCCTGTAGAAAAAAAATGATCTATTTTAAAAAAGAAAACATTGAAATATTCCTTATTCTTGAAAAACTAAATATTTCAATGGTACCGTATTGAATCGGGCATGCTACCAGAAAGAGGGGTCACTTGGAATTACACTGACACTCCCTTTAAAATTATTCTCTGTTCGCGGGGAATTTAGCTGATCTCTCATTCGTCAAATCCTCGAAAAAATGTACCAATCAAATATCTAAGGTTTAGTCGTGGATCAAAGAATTTTAATAACTTTTCAATTAATTAGAAATTAAAGTAAGAAACTTTTGTCGTAATATATATAGATCCACTTAATTAGGGAAATGCTTGATTGATTGATACCTACAAACATTTATCTGGCAAATGAAATAAATTTCGATAGTTTAAAAATTGTTTAATTTTGGCATTTTCCTTCATTGCTGCTTCAAAAGAAATCCAGAAGTCCTCCCTTTGAAAGAGAAACACACATAAAATGATTAATTTTCAAAACAACATGGATATCTCATTCATACCTGATCAGAATCGTACAATGGGCATGCCATTTAATAAAAGGAGGGTCATTTGAAATTACGTCTACAGTCTGCTGTCCCTTTAAATATCAAAAAAGTATATTTACCCTATTAAACTCCTTGTATTCAGTTATTCTGCCCAAATTCTCGTCAGTTCTGAAAACAAACATTCACATTTTTATTTTCTTCTACCTGTATAAATCTATGCGATATTTACTTATAACTGTCTAAATCTAGGAGATATTTACTTCTACCTGTCTAAATCTATGAGATATTTTCTTCTACCTGTCTAAATCTATGAAATATTTACTTCTACCTGTCTAAATCTATGAGATATTTTCTACTACCTGTCTAAATCTATGAGATATTTTCTACTACCTGTCTAAATCTATGAGATATTTTCCTGTCTAAATCTATGAGATATTTTCTTCTACCTGTCTAAATCTATGAGATATTTTCTACTACCTGTCTAAATCTATGAGATAAAGACCAAAAGTTGCATCACAGACAAGAAGGCGACCATCAGGAATGAAAGCTAAACCTAAAGGTCTTCCACATCTAAAAACAAGTCCAGAAATATTATTTTATTTTAACAAAATCTGGAAATATTTAACTGTACTGAACTTTATTCAGAACTTTTGAGTTAAGAATCTCGGTAACAATCATTAATCTCCATCTTCTGCAGGCAAGCGGATTGATTTAAATTCTCTTTGAAATCCCATGGTGGTCATACCCTGCAGGTATAATTATAGTTGAGGGATCAAGCAACTACTCTTTAATTTAAAGTGCCCACATTGGATATCGAGATCAAAAGTTTAAGATTAACAATACTTCATACAAAAGTGTCGACCCTAGAACTGATTTAAAAATGTTAAAGTCATTCTCTCTCATCGTTGGGAGCTTAACTTTAACCCCTGGTCAAAAGTTTGTGAGGTTGGTGATTAACTGATTTCGATTAATTTAATCTTTTTCTAAAGTTTCTACTCATTCCAGTTCCTTAACTTATATTTCAAGAACAATTTAATTGTTAAATAGTTTTGTCACAGAACCTTAAATAATAATTTTAACTCCAGAACTAACATTAATTATAACATGTTTAATTTTGTCAAAATTAATGAGGAGTCCCAGAACTATCTCAGTATCTATATACACATGTTCCCTCTAGCCGGCCAAACGGAAAAACCGAATGGGCGGAAGTTTTTTTTGACACTCATAGGCTAAAATTTGTTTTTTCAATTTTCAATTTTTTAAAGCGGGCAACGCCGGAATCTTCAGCTAGTATATAATATATATGAACTTACTTGAAATCAAAGATATCATGAATGAAACAATTCCTGTGTAAAGATATCCGTCTTTAATAGCAAATGACTCAGGGCCCTGGAAAAAAAAGATATTAAATCCAAGATTTTTCTTTTACTTGTTTTGACGAATGGCCATCGATTGTAAAAATCAAATTTAATAGAATTTAGACAGACTGAAGTCTAGATGAATCCCATGTTCAAATGTGTGAGTGTTTTTTTTTTTTTTTTTTTTTTATTGCTTAAACACTTGCTCATCCCATTTATTTCTTTGTCGTTTTTAAACACTTAATTTTTGAAAATAAAAACATGCTTTATATATTTTACTGTTACTTTCTTTAAACTTGAACAATATCTATATGCAATGATTTATTTAATGTGTCAAGATGTCAACAACATTTAAAACATTACTATTCATTTTTAGGTGAAAACTAAACAAATAGTTCCATGCATAACGCAACATTTGAATCCCCTTCGCANCGCCCCTGGATATTATAAAAATCTGGATATTATAAAAATCTGCATAATCCCTGTAATTAAGTAATTACACGAAATTAATAAAAACAAGAAAAAATGTTGAATATTTGTTTTGGTTAAACGAAATATCAAAACTTAAAAAAATATTGAGTCCATTTATTAAAGAACAAATCCAGATCCTTTTCCAACTGAACTATATTTAAGGCATTGGTAAAACAAAATTCTTTTTTTTCTTTTTGTTACTTAAACTTAAATCTTTAACAGATACCTAACTATCTATAAGTAGGAGGTCAGTTTGTTTGTGTGTATGTCTAATCATAACCTATACACCCCTTGACCTATTTGCCTTAATTTTAAAAATTCTAAGTTGAGTGAATAGATTTTTTCAGAAAAAGTTTAGTTTGCAAGCAAGGCTAGGTCCCAAAAGCAGCGAAGGACAATTTAGAGGTCAATAAAGAGGTCAATCTAGAGGTCAAAAGAGGTCCATATAGAGGTCAATATAGAGGTCAATATTGAGGTCAATATAGAAATCAATATAGAGGTTAATATAGAGGTCGAAAGAGGTCAATATGAGGTAAAAATAGAGGTTACTATAGAGGTCAAAATAGAGGTCACTATAGAGGTAAAAATAGAGGTAAATATAGAGGTCAATAGAGGTCAATATAGAGGTCAATATGGAGGTCAATATAGAGGTCAATATAGAAGTTAATATAGAGTTTAATATAGAGGTCAATATAGAGATCGAAAGAGGTCAATATGAGGTAAAAATACAGGTCACTATAGAGGTAAAAATAGTAGTCATATATTTTATATAAATATAGAGGTTAATATAGAGGTCAATATAGAGGTTAATATAGGGGTCAATATAGAGGTAAATATAGAGGTCAATATAGAGGTCGAAAAAGGTCAATATAGAGGTCAATATAGAGGTCAATATAGAGGTCAATATAGAGGTCGAAAGAGGTCAATATGAGGTAAAAATACAGGTCACTATAGAGGTAAAAATAGTAGTCATATATTTACCTTAATCTGGTTTTCGAAGAGTTTATCAACAATATTTAACTTGTCATTTTTCTCCAGAGGTCCAGCCCAGGCTGGAGACCCAGGAAACTCAAACTAGATTATTTTATCAAAGTTTTGATTTGAAAGGGACAATAATGCTTGATCACAACGGTATCACACTTAACTAAGCTTTCGGTGCGTTCTGCAGTAATCTGCAGTAATCTGCAGTAAACTGACAGAAGATATTGTAGCGTTTATAAGCTTTGTCTGATTAAGTATGAAAAAGATAAAAAAGTTTTGAATCGCCATCTTAGCGTTCAGTCCCTTCATACATAGATTACTAGATTATTTATCAAAATTTTAATTTGAAATGCTTGATCACAGTGTACTGCAGTAATCTGCAGTACACTGACCGAAGATATTGTAGCGTTTAGTGGACAGTGGTACCCTTATATGCTTTGTCTGATCAAGTAAGAAAAATACATATATTTTAGTCAAATAATTTTTCCATATCAAATAAATACCCCTTAATATTGCAATTGTACTAGTTTGCATGTGAAAATTAGAACAAGGTATAATAACAAATCTAAAAAAATGTAATACAAAAATAATAAGAAGGAGGACATTAAATTCCCCTAAAAATCATATATATTTCCCAAATTCAGCGAAAAGAACTAAAAAAAAAGGCATATATATAATGTTTGCATAAAATTTACATTTTCATATTTTTTAGTTGTAAAATTGTAGATTTTGATGTTTATCGTTTCCTATTCTAGCCACGGGGGTGATAGATAGATCATCAGAATCTATTCTAGCAATAATTCCAGACATCAACCCTAGGGTTTAATGTTTCGTTCAATCAATCTATCAATCAACCAATCAAAACGAAAACAAAAAACAATCAAGCAATTAATCAACCAAAACGAAGACAAATAAAAATCAATCAATCAAACAAAAATAAGAAAAAATACAATCAATCAATCAATTTTCTTTTCAATTTGACAACATCCATTAAAAAATAATTCATCAACAAGATATCATGAATGAAACAATTCCTGTGTAAAGATATCCGTCTTTAATAGCAAATGACTCAGGGCCCTGGAAAAAAAAGATAATAAATCCAAGATTTTTCTATTACTTTGTTTAGGCCATCGATTGTAAAAAATCAAATTTAATAAAATTTAGACGTCTAGTTGAATCACTTGTTTAAATGTGTGTGGGTTTTTTGTGGTTTTTATTGCTTAAACACTTGCTCATCCCATTTATTTCTTTGTCGTTTTAAACACTTAATTTTTGGAATAAAAACATGCTTTATATATTTTACTTTTACTTTCTTTTAACTTCTTTTTAATACAGAATATTTTTTATTTTCGTAAACATATTTAATTTTACAACATTTTACATATATTGTTACTAATGTTTAAATGTGTGTGGTTTTTTTGTTTGTTTTTATTGCTTAAACACTTGCTCATCCCATCTATTTCTTTGTCGTTTTGAAACACTTAATTTTTGAAAATAAAAACATGCTTTATATATTTTAATGTTACTTTCTTTTAACTTCTTTTTAATACAAATTTTTTTTATTTTCGTAAACATAGTTAATTTTACAACATTTTACATATATTGTTACTAGGTAAAAACGAAATAGGCATTTACAATATAATTTGGCTATTCTTTCACAGCTAGTATTACAGTTAATAATTTCTTTTAACTTGAACAATATCTATATGCATTGATTCATTTAATGTGTCAAGATGTCAACAACATTTAAAACATTACTATTCATTTTTAGGTGAAAACTAAACAAATAGTTCCATGCATAACGCAACATCTGAATCCCCTTCGCAACATTTAAGCACCCCTGGAAAGAAGAAGGAAAAATCAAGCCCCCCACCCTGGACAAATTCCTGTGTACGCCCCTGGATATCATAAAAAACTGCATAATCCCTGTAATTAGACAAAATTAATAAAAACAAGAAAAAAATGTTGAATATGTGTTTTGGTTAAAAGAAATATCAAAACTTAAACATTGAGTCCATTTATTAAAGAACAAATCCAGGTTCCAGATCCTTTTCCAACTAAATTGGATTTAAGGCATTGGTGAACAAAAAGTTCTTTTTTTTACTTACACTTAAATCTTTGACAGAGACCTAATTATCTAGAAATATGGTGGTAGGTCAGTTTGTTTGTGTGTATGTCTAATCATAACCTATACACCCCTAGACCTATTTGCCTCAATTTTAAAAATTCTAAGTTGAGTGAATCGATTTTTTCAGAAAAAGTTTAGTTTGCAAGCAAGGCTAGGTCCCGAAAGCAGCGAAGGACAATTTAGAGGTCAATATAGAGGTCAATATAGAGGTCAAAAGAGGTCAATATGAGGTAAAAATACAGGTCACCATAGAGGTAAAAATAGTAGTCATATA